GCGTGCCAGGATCTCTGCGTGGCCATGGCGACAGGCATGGTGTCGAACTTGAAGGAGCGGCTGGGTGATCTAGGGAAGCTCTCTGGCTGCCGCCTCTTCTCTGTCAACCTCTGGCCCCCTAACTGGGAGAGAGCTGTGCGCAAGGCCCAGTGCCTTGACTGGTTCTTCTCCCTCGTTACACTTTACCGTGCAGATGAGGCAGAGGAGATTATTCCTGGCATTAACAAGCGTGCAGCCATGAGAGAGCTGCCTCATTTCTGTCCCGTCATTGCTGCTCTTCCCCAGGCCGACCGAAGCTTTCACGCTGGGCTCACGGCCATGCTGAAGACACCTGACTGGCAGGATTCTTACCCGAACCTGATGAAGCTGTGGATGGCGGTGGCAGGGCTTCCTCTCAGCGCTGTAGAGTGCGAGCGCAGATTCTCTAGGCAGAATGTGATTAAGAGCTGGCTGCGTGGCAGCCTTAAAGATACTAGGCTTGGTGACCTCATGTGCATGATATTGTTAGACTATGACCCGGACTATGATGCTGTGGTGGAGATATGGCGCGCTTACAAGAAGCGTAAGCCCTTCAACAACACCCCTCAGGCCAAGCAAGACGGCTCGAAGAAGGGGAAGGGAGTAGCAGAAAAAGCAGAGGGTGGTGTAGGTAGTAGTGACAATGTAGACGATTTTGATCATTTCGAGTAAAGTTCTTTGCCTCTCAATTCCCTCTTCATTTTGTCAATCAGGAAAAAAAATTCATCTATCTCTGTTCATTCAGCATTTTTGTCCCACACAATCCTGACCCCTAAGCAAAAAAAATTGGGGACCTCTGAAAATTCAGGGAAAAAACCACGGGTAGTCCTTTGCAATGAGGATGACTTAAAACCAATCTGATGCCTTGCTCACGTCCCTCTTTTGTAGGCAAAAGAGGGTGAGTAGCGCTTCAACGCTGTCTATGCTGCGTTGGCCCTCGCTACACTTTCACAATACACATGTTTTAGAAAGCGTTACATGCTTACAAAAAATTACATCATGTGAATTTGCTTACTGTTCGTCTGACTGACATCAGGGATTGGGTTTGAAGGGTATTTCACCCTGATAACCCTTGCTAGCGGCCACTTTTTGGAGTATACCCTGATCATGTAAGGGTTAAAAAATGATGAGGCCAAATTTGCCCCTAGCTAAAAGAATGAATTAATGACTCGAGTGGTGAGATACAAGGCAATCTACAGAGTTATACCCACAAAGGCACAAACATATATAGTCTACAGTAACTGCATAAGCTATGTTTGACACACCCCCTAGACTATATAGGGGCAGTGCCTAACAAGGGAAGAAGCAGCTCAGGGCGGCACTACTAGTCCAGCCACTGACACAAGGGTCTAAAGACCAGTCAAAGAATACAGACAAGGCAAGAGCAAGACCAGGTCGGCACTACTAGTCCAGCCACTGGGAGAGGCCACAAGGCCAGTCAAGGTAAAATATATATAAAGGACAGTACAAAGTCAAGGCCCTAGCAAGTGAGAGGCTACAGGAACGAGACCTAGCTGTACACAGTGCCGCTGATGATCTTTAGGCGCAAGCGCCTTCGTAAAGATATCAAATGTGTTGGCACCAGAGGCCAAGTGTATTACGCGCGCCTGACGGCGCTGCTGGAGCTCACGCAGGAGGAAGTACCGCAGCTGGATGTGCTTCGCTCTGCCCTCGAGTCAAGGCTCCTGACACAGGAGGATCATGGCCATGTTGTCAGCGTACAAGACCGAGGCAGAGGTAGGCTGCTCACCTAAGTCAGTGAGCAAGAAGGTCAGCCAGCGGAGCTCCTGTGCCGCCATGACACCGGCGTAGATCTCGGCCTCACAGCTGGACTAGGCAACAGACGAGGAGCGGGTAGCTCTCCACGAGACGGCACCTGAACCAAGGCTGAAGCAGTAGCCCTGCGAGGATCTGAGGGTCTAGGCGTCGTCTGCCCAAGAAGCGTCTGTGTGTCCAGTAAGGACCACTGGCCTGCGTCCTCCTAGCACTAACCCCATGCCCGATGTACTTGCAAGATAACGCAAAGCCCTCTTAGCGGAAGACCAGTGCTGAGGTCGGTGTCTGCCTGTAACCACAAAGCGAGCCAGGATGCTGAGAGGGTATACGAGATCTGGGCGAGTGCAAGTCATCAGGTACATGAGGCAACCCACCAGCTCTGCGTAAGGACCACTGGGCTCTGCAGACTCCTCAGGAACTGGAGCGGAGAGCCTGTGGTCTAGGGGCAGAGGAGTGGGCTGTGCGGAGGAGAACTGAAGGCCAAACCTCAGAAGGACCTGGCGCACCAAATGTGACTGAGTCAAAGTGATAGTGCGCGCTGCTCTGTCCCTGGAGATCTGCAAGCCAAGGTAGTGGCGCAGTTCTCCAAGGTCAGTGCAGGTGTGTCTCTTCAGCAGCTCTGCCTTCACGGAGGCAAGTGCGTCCCTGTCTGCTGTGGCGAAGACCAGGTCGTCTACGTAAACAAGGATGTAGAACAGGGTCTGGCCAGCACGAATGAAGAGCGAGGGGTCTGCAGAGGACGGAAAGAACTGCAGGTCAGCAAGCGTAGCACGCAGCGTGTCGTGCCACTCACGAGGAGCCTGCCGCAGGCCGTAGATGGGGTGCCGCAGGAGCCACTGGGTCCCAGGAGGGAAGGTGCCAGTGAAGCCCTGAGGGCGGCGCAGGTAGACCTGCTCGTGTAGACTGCCCTGAAGAAACGCAGTGGAGAAGTCGAGGGAGTGAAGCTCGTAGTCACGCTGGGCTGCTACGTGTAGTAGCACCTGAAGAGTAGTCATCTTCGGGATCGGAGCGAAGGTCTGGAAAAAGTCCACCCCCTCACGCTGACTAAAACCTCTAGCCACGTAGCGCGCCTTGAACACAGGCGGCTCTCCACGAGGGCGCTTCACCTTGAAGAGCCAGCGGCCATCGACTACGTTCACCCCAGGTGGGGGAACTGTGTCGACGTAGGTGCCGGTGGATCTCCAAGATGCCATCTCCTGCTCCATGGCAGCTATCCACTGAGAGGCCTAGGGTCCCGAGACCGTCGGGATGTCGAAAGCGTCGGGGTCACCCTCGGGGACTAGAAGCATAGAGCAGAGATGGGGAGCAGCCTCGGACAGGAAAGCAAGCTCGTACTGGCGGTCCTCCAGGACGTCATTGCCGAGGGCAGGAGCACCCCCGACAGACAGAGGATAGGCAGGGTCAGAGACCAGAGCGGTGGCGTAGTCAAGGCGGCGGGTAGAGGCGAAGTGAGCGACCGCAGCGACAAGGGCATCAAGACTCGAAACTGGAATAGACGGGTCAGTAACGAGAGAGGCAAGGACCCGAGGAGCAAGAAGACGAGCGGCACGCAGATAGTCAGACAGAGGGAGGAGCAACAACAAGGGAGGACGGAGGGGGCGACGGGAGAAGGGGAGGACGAGACGCGTGGGAACGAAGCAACATAGTGTGAGAGCGTGAGACAGGGGAGACAGGTCGAGCACGGGAGGGGCGGCGAGACCAGACATGAGACGGAGGAGTCGGGTCAGGAGACAGAGGAGGGGACACAGGAGGGGAACGAGGGGGGAAACGGGCCCGAGATGAGTCCGGAGGAGGGAACACAGGGCCGTAGATGGGAGGAGGAGGAGGCACGGGCATGGGGTCAGGGGACGGAAGGCCGAGCAGACGAAGAGCGGACACCGACGGGGAGTGCTGCAGCGGCGGTGTGACACCGATACCGGGACCGCAAGCGGCCTGGCGGCTACCTCCAAAACACTCCACGCCAGCACCCCCAGAAGGAACACCCCTAGAGCTCAGAACCCCTCGAGCACCGGTACCACCCCCAGGCCTGCCGGGACAAGCCACGACAGGAGTCCCAGGACTAGTACCCACCCCAACGCCAGCACCCCCAGTGGCAACGAACGGCTGCGGCCATGGCTGCGGCGGCGGTGGCTGCAACGACGGCGGCTGCGACAGCGGGGGCGATGGCGGCTGCGGAGGCGGCGGAGGAGGAGACACGGCCGCGACGGCGGCCAGGGACAGCCGCGACGGCGGCTAGGGGCGGCAGCGATGGAAGGAGTGACCGTGAGGCGGCTGGAGGTGGTAGAGACAGCGGCTAGGGGCGGCCGTGACGGGCAGGGGGGCGGCTAGAGACGGGCACGACGGGCAGGGGGCCGACTAGGGGCGGACGCGACGGCCAGGGGGCCGGCTAGGGGCAGACGCGACGGCTAGGGGGCCGGCTAGGGAGGAGCGCGACGGCCAGGGGGCCGGCTAGGGACGGGCGCGACGGCCAGGGGGCCGGCTAGGGGCGGACGCGACGGCCAAGGGACCGGCTAGGGGCGGACGCGATGGCCAGGGGGCCGGCTAGGGACGAGCGCGACGGCCAGGGGGTCGGCTAGGGACGAGCTCGACGGCCAGGGGGGCTGGTAGAGACGAGCGCGACGGCCAGGGGGCCGGCTAGGGGCGGACGCGATGGCCAGGGGGCCGGCTAGGGGTGGACGCGACGGCCAGGGGGTCGGCTAAGGACGAGCGCGACGGCCGGGGGGCCGGCTAGGGGAGGACGCGACGGCCAAGGGGCCGGCTAGGGCCTAGGGGGCGGAAGCGTGGGCGGGCTAGGAGGGAACCTAACCTACTATGATACCATAACAGAAAGAATGAATGACTAGAGTGGTGAGATACAAGGCAATATAGTCTAGAGAGTTGTACCCACTAAGGCACAAACATGTATAGTCTGCAGTAACTGCATAAGCTATGTTTGACACTAGCACCCTTACAAACAGGCCCCACGATATTAGGATTTCACTTTCTATGCATTTTTCAGGGTGTTTGCTGGTACTGACCCTGATGAAAAAGCCCTTTTTAATGATTGAACCCTGTTGAAAAAACCTTTTTTTTACGTATGAGACTGATGTTTCAGCGTTTTGTTTCTTGTAGACACTGATGCATCAGCGCATTAATGGGGCCAAACACTTGAGACTTACAGAGTGTCCCCCCCTGGTTGGCGCATGATCCCCTCTCTCCCAACCCCCACCCCCGCCAGGTCGCAACAAAAATAATTTGTCTAAGTGCTCCAACCCAGGGATTTTTCTCCCCCACACCCCTCGCAACTCAGAAATTCGACATGGCCATGGCGCCAATTAGCAACCATGACTGCCCCGTCCGGTGGCATTAGCAACGAGCGTCCACCTTCAGCATGCCACCGTTTCCCTTCCCTATGAGCCATAGAACTTCTCCCCCCCTTATCGAAGATATCCGACAGCCACTGCCTCTCTGCTGCTGACAGTGACGGCTAAGCCAAGGTGGCTCGTTTCCCTTTCCTGACAGCCATGGCAGCAGCACTCGCCCCCTTCCGAGCGCCCATCATCTCATCGTAGATACCCGACAGCCGCTGCCTCTCTGCTGCCGACACTGACGGCCGCACGCTGCCTGCCGCCTGCTCCAGTTGCGCCCGCCCTATTTGCGGCCTCCCTGCCTCTACTCCTTTCTCCTTCTTCCCCTTCCTTCCCTTCCTTACCACTCCTGACTTCCCTTTCCGAACCTTCTTTTGATCATCTCTACCTGCCTCCTCGGCTGCCCAACCAGTCCCCAGTGTGTGCCTCCCTGCACCATTTTCCACCTCTTCCCCATCTCCCCCTCCATCGCCACTTCTCTTCCCCTCCCCAGCTTCCTCCTCCTGTCCCTTCCCCCTCTCCCTCACCTCCTCTCCTCCCTTCTCTCCCTCCCCTCCTCTCTTCTCGCCCTCTCCTTCCCCCCCCGTCTCGCTCCCCTCCAGCACAGCATGCACCGCCGCCAGCTGTGCATCTGCCAGCAGGGCCTGCAGATCCGCCCCACTGAACCCCTCCGTGCACCGCGCCAGCTCAGCAAGGTCCACGTCAGCACACAGCGGAAGAGTCCTGGAAAGCGCTTGCAGAATCGCCAGCCGATCCTCCTCCCCCGGGAAATCACATAGAACGAGCCGATCCAGCCGGCCCGGCCGAAGCAAAGCAGGATCGATCAAATCCGGCCGGCTAGTTGCTGCCACCACAAATACTCCCTCAAGCCCCTCTACCCCATCTAGCCCCGTTAAGAGCTGATTCACTACTCTGTCAGTCACCCCTGTGCTATCATGCCCTCTCCTCGGCGCTATCGCATCAAACTCATCGAAGAACAAAATGCACGGAGCAGCGCGGGAGGCTCGGGAAAACACATCCCGAACCGCCTGCTCCGAGGCTCCGATGTACTTATTCAGCAGCTCCGGGCCTTTCACCGATACACACCGGATTCTGCAAGCAGCAGCCGCTGCGCCCACGATATGCGTCTTGCCACACCCAGGTGGGCCGAAGAGGAGCACGCCGGTGCGCAGACGCAGGGGAGATGAGGCGAAAATTCTCGAGTGCTGGGCTGGGAGCTCTAGGACTTCACGTAGGGCGGTTTGGGCGTCGTCCATTCCTCCCACGTCCTCCCAGCCTAGCTGGGCAGAGGAGGAAGAGGAACACGGGTCAGAGGAGGAGAGCTTTGCGACGCCGCGCACTGCTGCTGGGACGAAGCCCTGCAGGGCGGAGGAGAAGTCTGCGTCTGAGAGGAGAAGAGGCTCCCCCTGCTGCTCGTGCTCCACCCGCTCTAATGGTATCCACGGCCCTCCCCTGCCTGCTCTTGCCGCCACCATTGCTACTTGGCCTCCCTTGGCCCCTCCTGTTCTCTTCCCTTCCCCTGCTAGTCCCTCGCCGCCCCATTCCCCTTCCCCTCCCCCATCCCCTGCCCCACCCCCACCAATGCCTTGCTTCCCTCTGCCTGCTTCAAACATCATTCTCGCTCGCCTCGCGTGAGCCGCACGATCGATCAGCACCTCCAGATCCGACGCGTCGCTGCCCTGACACCTGGCAGCCATGGATTGGAGCAGTGCATCCCCTCCCTCCCAACCAATCCCCCGGTCCTGCAGAATCTGCCTGAGCAGCGCTGCTCTCTCGCCCTCGCCCATGGCTGGCAATTCTATGGGCGAGTCGAAGCGGCAGGCGGCTCGGAGAGATGGCGCGATGGCGGATGGGGAGGGGGCTGTTGCAAGGAAGGCGATGGGGGCCTGGTGGGACTGGGGGGAAGAGAGTTGCAGGGGGAAGGGGGGGAAGATAGTTGCAGGGGGAAGGGGGGGAAGAGAGTTGCAGGGGGAAGGGGGGGAAGATAGTTGCAGGGGGAAGGGGGGGAAGAGAGTTGCAGGGGGAAGGGGGGGAAGATAGTTACAGGGGGAAGGGGGGGAAGATAGTTGCAGGGGGAAGGGGGGAAAGATAGTTGCAGGGGGAAGGGGGGGAAGATAGTTGCAGGGGGAAGGGGGGGGAAAGAGGGGAGAAGGGAGAGGCGGGTGAAGGTGAGAACATAATTCTGCCTGAGCAGCGCTGGGCAGCGAGGGGGGATAGCGGATGGGGAGGGAGCTGTGGGAAGGCGCACATTCACGGACATGCACGCACATGCACACACATGCACGCACATGCACGCACATGCACGCACATGCACGCACATGCACGGACATGCACGCACATGCACGCACATGCACGCACATGCACGGACATGCACGCACATGCACGCACATGCACGAACATGCACGGACATGCACGGACACATCCGAAGGCATCCAACGGAACACGCAGCGCAAGCATGTTGCCTTACTCACCTGGCATTCATCCATCAAGTCGGCAATAAACTCCACCAATCCCCCGCCGCCACCTGTCCCTTCCTCTGGCCCCCCACTCGGCCCCGGAGCCAACGCATCCAGATCATCCAGCACAACGACAGCTGGCGCCCTCTCATTCGCCCGCGCCACAGCTCTCCCCAGCACCCGCCGAACCTCCTTCGCAGGCTCGGACCCGAGCCTCGTGCAGCTGACAAACTCCGTGTGTGCGAGGCAGGTTTGGTCATTCCGAACCTGCCAGGCCAAGGCCGACGCAAGGGAGGTCTTGCCACTGGCAGGGGGGCCATGGAGGAGGATGGATCCGGGGGAGGGCAGGCGGAGGGAGCGGCGGGTGAGGAGGAAGGGGCAGGAGAGCGAGGCGTGGAGGCGGGAGAGGGCAGTGGAGGCTGGCTGGTGCAGCCATGAGAGGGTGAAGGAGAAGGGGTGGTGGGGTGATGGCGATGCACGTTCTGCTGCCAATGCTGCTGATGAGACTGGTGCTGATGCTGCTGATGCTGGTGCTGCTAGTGCTGAGGCTGCTGGAGATGTTGATGAATTCGGTGTGGTGCTTAGCGGTACCGAAGGCAGGGGCAGCAGAGGGAAGTGTGTGTGGACGACAGACGAGGTGGAGTCGAATGAGGGGAGGGACTGTGCCGATGCTGACTGGGACGGGCTGAAAACGAGTCCGGGGCTGCTGGTAAAGGGGACAGCCCACTGCATGGGAGCTCCCAAAGCTACAGTGCTGCGCTCCGATTGGACGGCCGCCAGCAGCGCCAGGCTGTCCACTGCCTCACTGGCTGCCGCCCGAACGGCAGGAAGCGACTGGGAAGCTTCAGAGGGAGGCATAAGCTTGTTGGTAGACTCCCCTGAGAGCCCTGTGGCTGCTGGTTCCAACAAGCCTGCACGAGCAGCAGAGGAGCCCGGCAGAGTATTCCCATATGCGCCCATTCCCATTCCCATTGCCATTCCCCCCATCATGGCACCAGGCCCCATGGTACCACCCACCATCCCCTTTCCTCCTCCCACCCCCCCACCCAGCCCTACCCCTCCTCCCAACACTGCTCCTGCTAGCGCTCCCAACGCAGCCATCTGCTGCTGCTGCTGTCGACGTGTGTCATCAGGCGAGATACCTAAACCACTAGCGGAAGTGGAAACAGTGGCGGCAGCAGCAGCAGCAGCAGCAGCAGGGCGAGTGCGCCCCCCTGGTGACGAGCCAAAGGTGAGCAGAAAGAGAGCGTCCCTCGCTGCTGGTGGAGCACTTGCCGAAGCTGCTGAAACACCTTTGGCGCTGCTCTCTCCCTCACTCTCGCTCCCCTTCATTCCCACACTACTCACTGTATCTGCCGCCTTGCTCTCTCCCCTCCCTCGCTCCACTCTCTCCCTCCCCCCCTCCCTCGCTCCGCCCTCTGCCGCATCCCGACCTATGCCATCCCCCCACACCAGTCTCAGCACCGCACCATCTACCAGAGGCACCCCCACTCCTCCCCTTGCTTGCCTTACCCCTTCCCTCACCCCTCCTCCTTGCAGCAACACACACGCCAGCGCCCGCACTCCCAACTCCCTCCCCTCCTCCTCCTCCTTACCCTGTATTTCTCCCTCCCCCATTCCTGCTCTCCTCTCTCCCCTACTACTTTCCCCCTCTCTTTCCGCCCCTCTTAACACTCTCCAATGCCTTTCTGCTGCTTCCACAGCAGCAGCCACTTGTGTCTTTCCTCCCCCCCCTTGCTCCCTTAACCCCCCTGCTCCCCCTCCTGCGCCTGGGCCTCCTGGTTCCGCCCTTGAGCCAGCACCCCCCTCGGCAGCACTAGTGGAGAGCACCAGAGGAGTGAGGAAGAGGGAGGGAGGAGGGGGAGTGAGGAGGCACGAAGCGGAGTTAGAGGGAGATGCGTGAGACTGCTCCCTCACACCCCCTTTCTCCGCACTCTCTCCACTTCCTCTTCTCTCTCCCTCCCCTCCACCACCCCTACTTTCCCCTCCAACCCCCCCATCCCACCCACCACCACCACCACCCCCAGTGTCCGCCCTTAAAGCGTCCTCACCACCCCCTATAGTCCCTTTAAGGAGAACCTTGGAGAACCAGTCTACCGCCAGGCACAGCGAGAGGGCCGGCGGGATCATCAAATGGCCTGCTGCCACGTGGCAGGAGGGCAGCACTCGCACAGGGACAGTGGAGCGTGAGGAGAAGCGCTGTGATTGGCTGGACTGGTTGGAGCGGTTGGATCCTGGCCCCTGATTGGTGGGTTTTGGGCGGCGGGCTGATGGGGGAACGTGGAGGAGGAGGAGAGGGAAGCCTGGCGCAGAGCCAGAGCCAGTGCCCCCCACTCGCTTCCAGTCCCCCTCACTCACAAACACGCACCCTGCTGGCTCTACCACACACCCCCCTGGCTCTACCAGCATCCGGCAACCTCCTTCTGCCCCTTCCCTGGTGGCAGTGCACGCATCTCCTGTCGGATTCGCTTCTTCCCGAGACAACCCATTGCCACCATGGTGCCTCCCAGTTTCACCACCGCCATTATGTGTCAGGCCTGAGGCCACGGACCAATCAAAGGGCTGCACCCGCAACCACACTCGCACGCTCCTCTCCCCTCCACCCCTCTCCTTCCCGCCCCTCCCCTCCTTTTTCCTCTCCACTCCCCCTCCCCCTCCCCCTCCCGCTCCCACTCCTCCTCCTCCTCCCCCACCTATCAGTGTTTCCCCGCCATCCCCCTCCCCCTCCGCCCCCTCCCCCCGCTCCCCCTGCCTAGTGCGGGGCGCCACAATGACCTCGGACCCGGGGACCAGGCGCACAAGGGGGGAGGGGGAGGCGGAGAGCGCGCACAGGCGCAGGGGGGCTTGCCCCTGCGCCCAAATGGGGAAGGACTGCCCTACAGCCACTGCGCCCACCTGCTGCAAAATAGTCTCTTCCAGAAGAGCTGGATTCAGCTCCAGAACCTCCCAGTCATCTGATGTGGCAGGTGCCACGTGGACAGCCTCTGCGGGGGGGATGCTCCCCCACAGGCGCACCCTTACCCGCACCCCCTCCCCCTCTCCCAGCCCCAGACACTCCCCCAACTCCCGCGGAACTTCCAGCGCCGAACCTGCTGCCGCGGCTCCGCCCCAAGCCAGAAAGAGGGGCTTGGGAGAGGCTCGGGATGAGGAGGCTTGGGAAGAGGCTTGGGAAGAGGCGTGGGACGAGGTATGGGAGGAGGGAGGGGAAGAGGTTCGGCGAAGGTCGAGGAGTAGAGGGGCGGGAGGGGGTTCGTCGTCGGAGGAGGAGAGAGTGAGGGAGTGGAGGAAGTGGAGGGGGAGGCGCACCCAGCAGGAGCGGTCAGAGATGAGAGACACGGTGAGCTCCATTTGATGAGGGAGTTACAGAGAGGTACAGAGAGATACAGAGGTTGATTATTGAGCTAGTAGCGGTCCACCGAGCCACGTGGGACGAGGGACGCTTAGACACGCACACGCGGCGCAGCTGCGGCTAACGAGGGGAATCAGCAGGTTCGCGATTTGAAACCTCGATTGTTCAAGTAGCGGTGTAACGGTACGAGGGATGCTTACACACGCACATACGGCACCGCTGCAGGTAACGAGGGGAATCAGGCGAGCGGTTAACGAGGGGAATCAAGCGTGCGGTTAACGAGGGGAATCAAGCGTGCGGCTACCGAGAGGAACAAGGCGTGCGGCTAACGATGGCGGTCAGCAGGTTCGCGGCTGGAGCACAGCGAAACGGGACGGAAAGGAATCTTATACACGCCGTGCTGTGCGAAGCTGTGTGACCAACCGTGCGATCTGCCGTGCGATCAGCCGAACGATCAGGCGTGCGACCAGCGTGCCAGTGTCAATCTAGCGAAAGCTTGCTGTGACGGGCAGTTTCTTCGAAGGTGCGAAGCGCACGAGCTATTAGCACCAAGTGCTAAAACTAAACGAGGTACGAGCAAGTGCTATCAAAAGGTGCGCTGGCAACCGTGATACTAAGTGCGACTACTACTAACGGGGGAATGGCCATCGCTCACGTGTTGGAGCCACCCGCCTTCTTGGAAACTAATACTCCTGACGTGGCGCCACGTGGCGTGACGTTCCCAGGGTTATCCTCCCCAACATCAAAACAGACTGGATTTGGAAGTTTATTAGCGATGATGCATTCACCAAAGCTACAAAATGCAGTCAGGTACTTGTAACAGCTCCCTCTATAACGAGTCGAATTTGAGATGCTTGTAACAGCTTCCTCTATAATGAGTCTAATTTGAGATGCTTGTAACAGCTCCCTCTATAATGAGTCGAATTTGAGATGCTTGTAACAGCTACCTCTTCCAGCATCTGCAGCACAAATGCGATCACAGCTCGGCTCACGACAGCTGAGGGAGGGTCCAAATAGTTCACACCCTATTAATTTTGTAAAGAATTAGTAATTCCTTACTGAGGCTTGCTACAGGGCGTACGACTCGAACAGTCCCGAACCAGCGATAGGGTTCCAGACCTTTCAGTTCGAGCCTCCTGGGCCTTTCCGGACCTCGCTACGACACATCGAGGCCCTTCGACACTTTTCCCGAACCTTCCGCTCCTACGTCCAGGATCGCCCTAGGTTTCCTATATATTGTTTTGTCTTTCATTTTATTGTCATTCACTCGTTCACAGTTTCGCCATTGCCCTCCGCACTACTCGGCAGTCCCATTCATAACACATTTCGTGAAAAGTAACCCGATTTGAGCAAGTAACACATTTATTAAGGTTTCACTAGGACACGACTGAAATATTGGCGCAGCCTGGGGCACCATTTGTAAGGAATTTCCACTCCTTACTGAGTCGTCCGCTACCGCGTACACCCGAACACCTCGACTCGTCAAGTTCGGCCTTCATTCTCGGCCCAACCCTTTCCCGAGTTGCGTCTGACACTGTCGCCACATTGCCGAACCTACCCACGTTCCGAGGTTATCGCCCTAGTACGCCAACCCCTATATAACCTCGTGCTCTCATTGCAATAGCGACCTTGTATTCTCCAGTTATTATTCATTGACATCTTCTAAATCATAACAGCTGGCATCAGAGCCCGATTTTTCTCGGAACCTTCCGTTTCTCATACTACTTAGCTAAGGGTGGTCAGAGGGGATTAGCACGGCTGCACAGCAGTTTCTTTGGGTCGTAAATATTTTTACGCCAGCAAATACAGTGTGTGCGCTAGCTTCTGCCCCGTCCTGACCGCCATGGCCCCGGTAGAGTAGAGGAACAGTCCACCTCGACTGCTGCGAACCCTGCACGGGAAACTCTGTGGACCTGCAAGCATTAATGGAGCAATTGAATAATTTGACAAGCGTTATCAACAACCTCCGCGACGAAAACCAACGACTTCGCCAGGCGCAGGAAAGGCGTTCAGAGGAGCCGGGCGACGATGTACGAAGTGAGGCGGGTGAGCAGCCACCGGCGCCAGTGGAGCTGGCACGGCTAGCGGCAACAGCCCCGCCCTCAACAAGGCGGCGTGAGATATCAGCAACTCGCTCCTTTCGACCCAGCTAATAAAGGCGTAACTGTGCGGCAGTGGATATTCGCCATGAATATCTATTTTAAAGCGGCGGGCATCCGAAACGATCAGAAACGGATCAGCCATGCGTTAACACTGTTGCAAGGGGCCGCCCTACAGTGGTGGAAGGTCATCGTCGACTCAGCGGCAACTCGCACAGAGGGACAGCACGAGAGGTCCGAAGAATTCAGCGACGAAGACGAGGCATATTTGCTGTTTGGTGCGACCCACATTCGCATGTGGGCAACGTGGTGCGCAGAGCTTCGCAAGCGGTTTGAGCATCCTCCTAACTCAGACAAAGCGTGCGAGACTCTACGCATGTGGAAGCAGCTAGGATCTGTGTCCGAATACACCGCGTCATTCTTGACGTTGGTGGACAGATGTGGCTACATGCACGAGTTGGAGAAGGTCGATAGGTACATGGGCGGGTTGAAGCCTGAAATACAGTACCAGATAATACTGCAACGCCCTGCGAAGCGGTTACAAGACTTCATCCAGCTCGCCGAAGCCGTTGATTCGCTCACGAAGCCGAGGATGGACTTCTACGACGGAGGTCGCCCTCGAGGACAGTACCAGCGCGCCACGATAAAAGGGATGGACGGAGTGGATATTTACCCAGTTGCTCCGCGAAATACAGGGCTATGCTACCACTGTGGTCGACCGGGTCACATCCAACGCAATTGCCCAGAAATCGTAGCCATCCAGAAATCTATGGGGAAGAAGCCAGAGGAGCGACCAGGAAATGGGTCGCGTCAGTAAGTACCGGGCCCCTTAGTGACGGGCAGGCTTCTTCGCCCGAGCCACACAGTCCCCACCGGGTCGTGATCCCGATTGCTGCAATCGACCGGACCCGGACAAATAAGGGGGACGAAATAGCTGATCACCATGTGTTGGTGGAGGGTAAAGTCAACGGGGTGTTGCTGAAGATTTTCGAGGATGGAGGCGCGAGTCACAGTCTCATACAGCTGGACAAGGCTAAAAAAATGGGTATTCCCTTATTTAAGTGTCTACCCGAAATTGACGCAAGACTGGTGGATGGAACACCGCTGGCCAGACGGGAGCGAGTGGAGCACGTCAGTTTCCATTGCGGGGAGCACGTAAAATTTCGGATGGGGCTGCTGGCGACTACACTCGACGGGTGCGACATGCTGCTGGGATGGGACTGGCTGCGACAATACAACCCGAGGATCGACTAGACGACGGGCAGTTGCAGCATAAAACTCGATGGGATCTACCGCGAGCTACCGAAATGGACGGACCCCGCATGCGAAGTACCCAAGTCTACGCGCTCACTTTCAAGCGCACGAGAAAAGCGGGAGCTGCAGCGTACGCCGTTGATCTTTGCGAGGTGACGTCGCCGACCACGGCCGAAGATATCGCGAAGCTGTGCGAAGCCGTACTTCCGGATTTAGCGGACCTGATTTGAAAATACCCCGAGATTTTCCTAGACGACCTGCCCGCTGGACTTCCGCCGAGCCGACCAGAAGACCACCGCATCGAGCTGGAACCAGGCGCCCAACTGACGGTGCAGCGACAATTTCGGCTCAGCCAACCAGAACTGGAAGAATTACAGCATCAGCTGGATTACCTTCTGACGAAAGGTTTTGTCCGGCCCAGCTCGTCCCCATACGCCGCCCTGATACTGTTCACACCGAAGGTGCATCGACTACCGCGCGCTCAACAGAATCACAATCAAGTCACGTTATCCAATCCCACGAGCTGACGAACTACTCGACCAACTTCGCGGAGCCAAGTTCTTCTCGAAAATCGACTTGCGAGGAGGATACCACCAAATTCGCGTTGCCGCCGACGACTGTTACAAAACCGCCTTTCGCACCCGATATGGCAGCTACGAATACTCATTGATGCATTTTGGCCTTACGAACGCGCCTTCGACCTTCCGAATGATCATGAACGGCACTTTCCGGGAACTCCTGGATAAATGCGTTATTATCTACCTCGACGACATCCTAATCTACAGCTGCAGCAGGGAGCATCACTTACAGGATCTTGATGCAGTCTTCACGCAGCTGCACAAGAATCGCCTCATCGCGAAAGGGTCTAAGTGTGATTTTTTTAAGCAGGAGTTGGAGTTTTTGGGCTACGTCGTTTCTACCAAATGAGTGAAAATCGACCCCAAGAAAATCAAGACCATACAGGAGTGGAAGCCGCCGACCAACATCAAAGAGCTGCAGAGTTTCCTGGGATTCATCAACTACGTCCGCCGTTTTATCCCCAATATGGCTGGGTTATCTGCCCCGCTAACCGACCGACTAAGGGATCATGATTGTTTTTTGTGGGAAGAGAAGCAGCAAGCTGCATTCGACCAACTCAAAATCACCCTCATGTCGCCGCCCGTCCTTCACATCTCCGCTCCTGACCGTCCATACGAAGTCATCACCGACGCCAGCGACATCGCCATCGGCGCAGTTCTCCAGCAGGATTTCGGCGACAGATTACAGCCGGTCGCCTACGAATCACGGAAGCTGCAGGGCGCAGGAAAATACTATACGGTACACGACAAGGAAATGCTGGCGATCGTCCACGCGTTCAAGACCTGGCGATGCTACCTGACAGGTGCTGACGTCACGGTGCGGACCGACCACAAATCCCTCCAGTACCTGCGAGCCCAACCGAATTTCAACCTGCGACAGATCCGATGGCTCGATTTCCTCGAGTCAAATTTCCACTACACCATTACCTACAAACGGGGTGCCAACAATATTGCCGATGCCCTGACTCGACCTACTGCCCATACCGCCGCCATACCCGTCGCCCAGACCAACCCATTATTTACCGGACTATTTGCCCACGGCTACAAGATCAATCCTTTCATCCACTTTGCTATCCATCAATAGCGTACCACCGCTACCAGACCTTATTTTAATAAGCGCGATACTTCTCGCATTTGGGTGCCCGGCTACGATTTACTGCGTACCCTACTAATCCAGGAATCCCACGACAACCCTACCTCTGGGCATTTCGGCGTCGACAAAACCATGAAAATGCTGCAGCGGAATTATTACCGGCCGAACATGGCCGATGACGTGCGCGAGTACGTGTCCTCGTGCACTGCTTGCCAGATTATGAAATCGTTGCATCAGCGAGCAACCGGAATACTACAGCCGTTGGATCCGCCCGAGTGACCCTGGCAACACGTCATGATGGATTACGTGACAGGACTGCCGGCCGGTCCCAGCGGAAACGACGCCATCCTCGTGGTCGTTGACCGACACACGAAAATGGCGCACTTCATCGCCTGCCAACAGACCATCACAGCCGAACAAACTGCGCAGCTGTTCATCGCGAACGTCATTCGACTGCACGGACTGCCCTCCGCCATCATTTCAGACCGAGACCCGAAATTCACATCGAATTTCTGGCGCCACCTGTGGAACCAATTCGGCACCAAACTCCAGTTTTCCTCCGCCTACCACCCACAGACCGACGAGCAGACCGAACGAGTCAACCAAATCATGAAGCAATTCATTCGAACTACCTGTACTAACCCACAGACATGGGAGAAATCCCTTCCGCTGCTGGAATTCGCATTTTCCAACGCGCCCTCCCCCACAACCCATCAGTCCCCATTTTTCCTCAACTACGGACAGGACCCCGTGGTACCCTCTACCTCGAACATCGAGACACCCGTGCCCCAGTCCCAGAAATTTGCTGAAGACATTCTCGCCGCTCGAGAAAAAAACAGCTAAGGCAATCAGGAAAGCCAACCTGGTCGCAAGCCGACAAGCCGATCGCCATTGACGTGACGTCACCTACAAAGTGGGAGATCTCGTCCTACTCGACACTCGCAATTTGCGGCTGCCGATCCCGAACAAGCTCCGACCCCGATTCTGCGGACGTTTTCAAGTGACCAATATGGTGACACCGGTCACTGCTCACCTCCGATTCCCGACTGACTGGCGTCACCACCCGGCTTTCCACGTCAGCCTCTTATGGCCCTACGTCCCCAGTTCGTCGGAATTGGCACGCCAACACGGAATACCGCAGCTGACGCCCCCGCAGGAACCGACGACCAAACCCTTGAAAATTCTCGGCCATCGAGTCACGACGCAGCTGAACCGTCGGATGGTTGATTTTCTCGTCCGCTGGTGCGATCGCACGTCAGAAGATGACAGCTGGGTGCCGCTCGCTGACCTAGAATCACATCCGATTCTAACAGCGTACTACCACCGTCGGAATGTTTCCGATGCCCGAGGCCTCGTTTAGGAGGTGGGGGTAGTGTAAGGAATTTCCATTCCTTACTGAGTCGTCCGCTACCGCGTACACCCAAACACCTCGACTCGTCACGTTCGGCCTTCATTCTCGGCCCAACCCTTTCCCGAGTCGCGTCCGACGCTGTGGCGACATTGCCGAACCTACCCATGTTCCGAGGTTATCGCCCTAGTACGCCAACCCCTATATAACCTCGTGCTCTCATTGCTATAGCGACCTTGTATTCTCCCGTTATTATTCATTGACATCTTCTAAATCAGAACACCCTTCACATGCGTCGGGCAAGTACCAGATTTCGGATTGCAAACGTTAAAAAGCCAGAAGGTGCAAGATTCGGGAACGGGGTTCCAAGTGTGTCGCGCCTGGATATCGCCCCGCTGGCGATGGCGAAAACCAGGCGACATCGCGAATACATCTGCGATGACTGCTTCCCGGTTTGTTGACTGCCTCCGATGTTTTGTCGCGCTCGCAAGTACCTAAGCGAGGAAAGATTCCCCCGCTTGTTGATTGGCCCCCCTGGCTCGCCGCTGCCAATGTTAGCAAAAGTGGGATGGGTTTCCCCGCCTCTTGTCTTTTGCGCGGTGTGCGAAACATATGTTTCGCGCAGGCATACATTTGGTAACTGCGTTTTGGGCTGTTGCGCGCCGCTCGGTTTTTTCAAATGTCGACAATTGGCGTCCCGCTTGTGCGCCACGTGCGAACGGGGACACAATTTCGGGAAATTACGAATTCGGAATCGTTTCAGGGATCTGTACCGGGGCTCGCAAAATCGTGTTCCGAACCCCGAAATGAACTATCTGGACCCTCCCTGAGCAGACTAGCAGTTTCATCATACTAGCAGATTAAAAAGCTGAACTTGGTTTCCTCCGTTTGATCTCTAGATTCTCAACTAGTTAAGCATAAAACCGTCGCAAGTAACATTCAGGTAGCCTGAATAGTCGATCTTCTCGAAGCGCATCCCAGTTTCGGCCATTTCTAGGCAGCCATTTCTAGGCAGCCATTTCTAGGCAGCCATTCTTCCTCTTGAACACTCTCTACCGTTTCTTGAGGCGCCTCAAAAATCGTTTCCGCCTTGTGACATCTTGTGAAATCATCTTGTGATATCCCGCATTGCTCAACCATAGTAATCCACTGTTACTCCTGCGATTACCTGTTTCCTCTGCGACTCCCGTTGTCGCACAGGGCGACGCGATGACGCTGAAGGCAGCGATCGCGACGTGGGCCCGTCGCGTGTGCGACCCGCGCGACACCAAGGCGGCGTGGGCCGTCGCACGGCTGCTTCTGATCGCAGAGGCACTGCTGTGCTCCGCGATCATCGCTAAAGTCCCCTGTGCGACCTTGTTGCCGCGCATTATCCCCTTCATCTCCACCTTCCGTGGTTCTTCCCCCGCTGCTGTGCTCCGCCTTCATCGCTCAAGCCCCCTATAATTTCCCCTTGCTGCTCTGCGTCCCCTTGTTTCCATATTCCGCCATTCTTCTTTCGCTTCTGCGTTCCGCGATCGTCGCGAGAGTCCCCTGTGCATCTCCCTTGCTGCTCCTCGTCCCCATATTTCCAAATCCGCGATACTAGCTCGGCTTTTTAGCGGCTCGTTGTCCAAGCACTCACCCTCATCCCTCCCATCCACCCCCTTCTCCCCACCCCACACCATCCCCCCCTCCCCCTCCCCCTCCCCCTCCCCCCCCCCCCCCCCCTCCTTCCTTTTTAGCTGATTCTCCAGGCACCAAGATCGACTGGGATGCGCGCATATCACAGGTGACAGGCTTTCAGCAGCGCGAGCGCGACAAGCACTCACACTCATTCCCCCCACCCCTCCTCTCCCCTCTTCCCTCTCCCCTTTCCTGGTGCCCCACGGACGATCCAGACACCAAGATCGACTGGGACGCGTACATGTCGCAAGTGACGGGCTTCCAGCAGGGCGAGCGCGACTACTCCAAGCTGGAGGGCGACACGGGGCCACTCGTCTACCCAGCTGGCTTCCTCCTCTCCTTCTCCGCCCTGAAATGGGTCACAGGAGGGGTGGTTGCAAACGCCCAGGTGATTTTTATTGCAGACACCCAAATGGGGGGCATGAATGCCTTGGCGTGCCAAGTGCTCGGGTAGAGACGCCCGTACACACGTGCTTACTCCCTCCTCTCGAGATGACTTTTGAGTCGACTCAAAAGTCATCTTGGCGTGCCAAGTGCTCGGGTAGAGACGCCCGTACACACGTGTTTACTCCCTCCTCTCGAGATGACTTTTGAGTCGACTCAAAAGTCATCTTGGCGTGCCAAGTGCTCGGGTAGAGACGCCCGTACACACGTGCTTACTCCCTCCTCTCGAGATGACTTTTGAGTCGACTCAAAAGTCATCTTGGCGTGCCAAGTGCTCGGGTAGAGACGCCCGTACACACGTGCTTACTCCCTCCTCTCGAGATGACTTTTGAGTCGACTCAAAAGTCATCTTGGCGTGCCAAGTGCTCGGGTAGAGACGCCCGTACACACGTGCTTACTCCCTCCTCTCGAGATGACTTTTGAGTCGACTCAAAAGTCATCTTGGCGTGCCAAGTGCTCGGGTAGAGACGCCCGTACACACGTGCTTACTCCCTCCTCTCCCCCTTCGCCTCCCTCTCTCTCCTTCTCGCTTCTCACCCTCTCCTTCTTCCTTCTTTCACTCACTTTTAGCCCTCTTCGTTACCTTGTTCATTCTCAAAGAAATTCGTCTCCTTTTCCTCTCTCCTTGTCCTAACGTTAACTCTCCCCTCTCTGCTCTCCTGCCTCTCTCCTCCCCTCCACCGCAGGTTGCCTTTGCCGTCCTCTACCTCCTCCACCTTCTCATGGTCTTCACAGCCTGTTTCTCGCATTTTTCTTTTCTTTTTCTACTTCTCTCCTGCCCCTCTCCTGCCCCTCTCCCGCCCCTCTCCTCCCATCTACTCCCCTCTGCTGCAGGTTGCCTTTGCCGTCCTCTACCTCCTCAACCTTCTCATGGTCTTCGCCATCTACATTCGAACACAGGCGGTAAGAACCAAAACCTTTAAACCCCAATCCTTGAATCTATATTCTCAAACCGAAGCCATTGAATCCAGAACCTCGTACCTGAATCCTTAAATTCATTCTTATTGATTTATTTATTCACTTATTTAGGACCCGCTTTCCAACTCCTCTCACGATGCCCTCACTTCTCACCGAATGCCTCAGCTTTCCATGTCCATATCTCTCCACACCGTGCGTGTTTTACACCCATCCCTACCCATGCCCCACCTGCCCTCCCCCAACCCCCACCAGGTGCCCCCCTGGGCGCTCGTCCTGCTGTGCCTCTCCAAGAGAATCCATTCCATCTTCCTGCTCCGCCTCTTCAACGACTGCCTCGCCATGGCCTTCCTGCACGCCGCGTTACTCAGGCTGCAGTCGTCCAGATGGATCCCCGCCGTCCTACTCTTCAGGTCAGTATGCCATGACAACCTGACAAGTCTTGCCATGACAACCTGACAAGTCTTGCCATGACAACCTGACAAGTCTTGCCATGACAACCTGACAAGTCTTGCCATGACAACCTGACAAGTCTTGCCATGATAACCTGACAAGTCTTGCCATGACAACCTGACAAGTCTTGCCATGACAACCTGACAAGTCTTGCCATGACAACCTGACAAGTCTTGTCGTGACTCTTCAACGACTGCCACCCCCTGGCCTTCCTGCTTGCCGCCCTTCTCAGACTGTAGTCCTCTAGGTGGATTCCAGCAGTGCTGCTGTTCAGGTCAGTATGAAATATGCAGTCTTGTCCGTCATGCGACATCCTGTTGAAGCTGTATGTTTTTATGTATGTGCGGCATAAGCTGCACGTCTTATGAGTGTGCCCCTCTGCTTCCTGCTTTCGAAGTTCAACTCTCCCTCCCTCCCTCGCTCCCTACCTCCCTCCCTCCCTCCCTCCCTGTCCTCGTTGCTCCTTGCCACTGCAGTGCAGGCGTGTCAGTCAAGATGAATGTGCTCCTCTTCCTCCCTCCTCTCCTTGTCATCATGGCCAAGGTACCTCTCCTCCCCCTCCTCTTGCTCTTCCTTCCTTGCATGCAAAGCAACTCAAAAGAAGACTCTCCCTGCCTCCTCTCCTTGTCATCATGCTAAGGTCTCTCTCCTCCTCCTCCTCCTCCTCCTCCTCCTCCTCTTCCTCCTCCTCCTCCTCCTCCTCCTCCTCCTCCTCCTCCTCCTCCTCCTCCTCCTCCTCCTCCTCCTCTTCTCACACATCCTCTGTACATGCCCAATAATAGTCAGCTCGCAGGTGACTTTTGAGTCGACTATAAAGTCACCTCTGTGCATGCTCAATAGAAGTCCGCTCGCAACCGCCATGCCCAACCTTGATACGCTTTCTGTGCTCACCCTCGTATCGTATCCACTATTCACTGCTTTCTTCCGGCTTCTCAGCATCCCTTCGGATACGCTGCTGTTCTGCGCCCCGTATTTTCCATCTCCTCCCTCCCCTCCCCTCCCCTCCCCTCCCCTCCCCTCCCCTCCCCTCCCCTCCCCTCCCCTCCCCTCCCCTCCCCTCCCCTCCCCTTCCCTCCCCTCCCCTCCCCTTCCCTCCCCTCCCCTCCCCTCCCCTCACCTCCCCTCCCCTCCCCTCCCCTCCCCTCCCCTCCCCTCCCCTTCCCTCCCCTCCCCTCCCCTTCCCTTCCCTTCCCTTCCCTTCCCTCCCCTCCCCTCCCCTCCCCTCCCCTCCCCTTCCCTCCCCTCCCCTCCCCTCCCCTCACCTCCCCTCACCTCCCCTCCCCTCCCCTCCCCTCCCCTCCCCTCCCCTCCCCTCCCCTCCCCTCCCCTCCCCTCCCCTTCCCTTCCCTCCCCTTCCCTTCCCTTCCCTTCCCTTCCCTTTCCCTTCTATTCATCTTACGCTGCTCGTTCCTTATTGCGGCATCTTGTTCGCTCACTCTCATAGCACTCTCTATCTGTCGCCATTCCATTCTACTCTCTCTCGCCATTCCATTCTACTCTCTCTCGCCATTCCATTCTACTCTCTCTCGCCATTCCATTCTACTCTCTCTCGCCATTCCATTCTACTCTCTCTCGCCATTCCATTCTACTCTCTCTCGCCATTCCATTCTACTCTCTCTCGCCATTCCATTCTACTCTCTCTCGCCATTCCATTCTACTCTCTCTCGCCATTCCATTCTACTCTCTCTCGCCATTCCATTCTACTCTCTCTCGCCATTCCATTCTACTCTCTCTCGCCATTCCATTCTACTCTCTCTCGCCAATTCTCCCGCCTCGCCTCACTGCCTCACTGCCTCACTGCCTCACTGCCTCACTGCCTCACTGCCTCACTGCCTCGCCTCACTGCCTCACTGCCTCACTGCCTCACTGCCTCGCCTCACTGCCTCACTGCCTCACTGCCTCGCCTCACTGCCTCACTGCCTCACTGCCTCGCCTCACTGCCTCGCCTCACTGCCTCACTGCCTCACTGCCTCGCCTCACTGCCTCGCCTCACTGCCTCGCCTCACTGCCTCACTGCCTCACTGCCTCACTGCCTCACTGCCTCACTGCCTCACTGCCTCGCCTCACTGCCTCTCAGCTTCTTCCCTTGGTGCAAATAGCGGGCCTCCTTGCTGCAGCAGTCGCCTTCCAGGTGCGTGCTGCTTCATTTACTTGGCACCTGCCGTCTTTCATTCTTATCCAAAATAAACAATCTGCTCCGCCCGCCCTTTCATTCGAATATCCCCTCCTGGTCACAATCAGGCTCGACCTGCCACAAATTTCCTCAGTTTCCGCTGCAATTTCGCCATGTCTTACTTTGTATTGTGACCTGGGAGACTAAGTCTTGTCCTGTCTTCATCTCTTAACCATTCACCCACTTCCTAGGATTGGTTAGTGACCCGGCTGGTCATCTAGTTTCTATCCTCTGTGCCCTACCATTTTCCACGTGGCAGCTCCTGGTTGGCTGGCCGTTCATCAGCACCTTCCCTCAAGCTTACTTTGGTCGGGCGTTTGACCTCGGACGGGTCTTCATCCACTTCTGGTAACCCCCTCCCACTCCACGCAAAGTGACCTTTGGAAGTACCTGTCATCCACTTCTGGTACCCCCCTTCCCCTTCTTTGACGCCCTCAAACCTTCTTCTTTCTTTGCCCTGCTTCTGATAATATTCTAAAATTCTCAAAATTCGTCTGCCCTGCGCTCTCCACCCTTTTTCCCGCACTCTCTTTTGTTGCTCTCCCCTCTGAGTGCTCCCCATTGCTTGCACTGTTCACACCTGCCCTCCAGTCGGGCAAATCCACGTTCGCACCTGAATCACTCTGTCCAAGGCCTTGCACTCTCCTTCTTGCTCTCTCTTTGCTTTTTCTGCTGTGCATGGCTCCCCTTGTTTCCTCACTTGGTTTTCCCTCACCCTCTGGATGTCAAGCTCGTGCCTTCATCAACCTTAGTTCCCCAACCTTTTTATGCCCCTTGTCCTCTTGTTTTCTATCTTTCCCCCAGGTCAGTCAACTTCAAATTCGTGCCCGAGTCAACCTTTGTCTCCAAGCCATTTGCTCTCTCCCTTCTGGGGCTGCACCTCCTGCTGCTGCTGCTCTTCTGCCACTTCTGCTGGTGCAAGTGAGTCTCGTGCGTGTGACTCTAAGGCATTAGACGCATGATTCATCTGCTGCTGCTGCTGCACCTGTTGCTCCTTCTGCACTTCTGCCTCTTCTGCTGGTGCAAGTGAGTCTCGTGCGTGTGACTCTAAGGCATTAGACGCATGATTCATCTGCTGCTGCTGCTGCACCTGTTGCTCCTTCTGCACTTCTGCCTCTTCTGCTGGTGCAAGAGTTTGGTAACAGTTTGTTTGGTGCTTGTGTAACATTGTCCGCCTCCCCCCGCACCTCCTATTCTGTTGTTACTGCTAGTTTGAGTGCAAGGGGTTCAAGGCATATGGATTTAGTGCAAGAGGGCTTAGTGCAAGGGAGTTGGGTGCAAGGGAGCTGAGTGCTGCTTCTCATCCTCATATTGGCACAGCGAAACATGGCATGCTGTACCTGCATGCTGTACCTGCATCCTGTGCTTGTATGCAATGCCTGTATGGTACACCATGCATGCGATACCATCCATGCTATACCTGCATGCAATTCCATGCATGGTATACCATGTACGCTGTACATAAAAAACTATGTCATGTACGCCCAACCCCATCCATGCCCCCTCGTCCCCTTCCCATCAGGTACGAGAGCGGCATGTTTCGAGTCGCCATCGCTGCGCTGCTCTCTCCGTTCAAACGACTGCAGACCCGCCCCTTGCATCCTGACCGTACGTTTTTTTTTGCATCCTGGCCGTTCGTTATTGTGGCAAGACGTTACTGTTGCACCCTAACCAGAACCCTTGACTTTAGGACACGGAGCAGTTAAAGCCACGGTACACATTCACCAAATGTTTTTCAAGTGAACATTTGAAACGGTGGTAAGCTAGTGATACCTGCTGAAGGTGGCGAGATTTCGCCACCTGCTGATGATCGTCTGAAGGGGGGACTGTGGCGCTTGTGGACTGATTCTCCTCATCCGGTTCATGTGAAAACGTCCTCCTCTCGCCTCATCATCTCCCTTCCCCCACGTTTTCACAAGATTTAGGTTGTTGGGTTTGGAGTGACGAGAAGTTACGTTTCGCGAGATTTCTAGCTAGAGTTTGTTTCTTGCTGAGTCAGCAATCCACAGGGGGCAGTAGCTCGGCTGACTTGCAAGCGTCCCAAATTGCAATGACCCCATTATGTTTCCGCAGGCCAACCCACCCAAACCTCCCCAGTCAAGATTTGAACGAATCAGGTGCCTTCGCGATGTGCGTAACCCCAGTTTCGTGAAAAATTCACCCACAAAACGTGGGGTTTCAAGTTTCTAAAGCTTGAACCACGCGGCATGCAATTTGGGACTCAGGCTTTAATATACCTAAAATCCGTTGTTCCGTAGCAAAGCTGGACATGGTATTGTGCGTTTATGTTTTACTGTTGCAAACATCATTAAAACTCATGTTGGTGGCTTTATTATTCTGGTTTTGCCTTCATGTTTTTATCACTACAGATATCACCTATCTCATGCTCGTTGGTAACTTTATCGGCATCTTCTGCGCCCGCAGCCTGCACTACCAGTTCTACTCCTGGTGAGTATTGAACCCCTTCCTTCCCACTTCCCCTTACCACCCAAGCCCCCCACCACCCTTGGCGCCTACCTTTCTTCTGTGCTCGCAGCAGTAGAACTGCGCCACCATGCGTGAGGAGACTTTTGAGTTGACTCAAAAGTCACCTTGCTCGCAGCAGTAGAACTGCGCCACCATGCGTGAGGTGTCTATTTTGAGGCGCCTCAAAAATAGAACTGCGCCACCAGTTCTAGTCCTGGTGAGTATGGGACCCCCCTCCTTTCCCCATCCATGCTACCCTCCTTGCCCCCTACCTCCCCTTCTGTGCTTGTAGCCTGCACTGCCGACTCCACTCCTGGTGTGTTACTTCTTCGCACATCACCCTGCCTCGAATGTCATTTTTGAAGCTGAAAAGCCCTCTCTTGTTTTCAGAACTCCTTCTTGCCAACACTCGAGTCTCCATATCTCCTCCCACATTTTCCTCTTCCACACTCATGCTCTTTCAAGCAGTCCATGTATTTCTGGAAACATGTATTTTTTTAAACATGTATTTCTGAAACCTTGGGTACAAACGGCAAGCACGGCAACCTTTCACATTCTCATGCTCTCTCGCCCTCTTCCTCCTCATTATCATCCTTTTGAGTCTTATTACGGTGCTCCTTTGTTCCCCCCCCCTCTTGTTCCTCCGCCAGGTACTTCTTCTCTATCCCCTACCTCCTATGGGTTGCTCCTCTCCCCACGCCACTAAGGTATGCCAAATATGCCACACCATGCCATGTCATGCCAAGCCATGCCATGAATTCCCACTTCACACCATTGGCGTCACACTGGAGATTGATGCGTTTGAGCCATCTGCCACTCATCTGCCACTCATCTGCCATGCCAACCTGCTCTCAACCTTCCACTCCGCTCCATCCCCTACCTTTTATGGACTGCTCCTCTTTCCATGCCGACTTACCATCATGGCATGGCTTGCTATGTTATGCCGTCCCATCATCATAGCATGCCATGCTATGTTATGCCATCTCATCATCATAGCATGCCATGCTATGTTATGCCGTCTCATCTATCAGAAACTGAGAACTTGATTGATTGAAATGAGCAAGAGCATACATCCTTAAGTACCGAGCATCGGAGAGGATGGGAAGGGATAAGGGAGAATCGGAGGGAATCCCAAGGGAATCCTCCCAAATCGTGGGGATTTGGGATGGATTGGGTTGGGATAGGTTGGGGATGAAAACATAGCTACACCCAACCTAACAAATATGAGTATCCCTAAAACCAACAAAGTGTCAACACACAAAATTGTGCCAACCGAATTGCAGCCTATCTCTAACACACCCCCTAGGCTGCAACGTCGGAAGCCGTAGGGACGCCAAGTCCCATGGTACGGAGGAGACGATAGTGATCACGGCGTCCAAGAGCCTTCGTAAACAAGTCGGCGAGGTTGCAGTCAGAGGAAATATGCTTGACGCACAACTGCCCTCGCTGGACGAGCTCGCGCATGAAGAAGTGTCTCAATTCGATGTGCTTGGTTCGTTGGTGGAAGACAGGATCTTTGGTGAGGTGGATAGTGCTCTCGTTATCACACCACAGAGTCGGGGTCTGCTGAGGATACCCGAGCTCAGCCATGAGGTAGGTAAGCCATCGAGCTTCTTGGGCTGCCATGGTGCCTGCGTATAACTCAGCTTCGCAAGATGACAATGAGACGGATGATGAGCGTGTAGATCGCCAGCTGATGACACCACTGCCAAGGGTGAAGCAATAGCCTTGGGAAGAGCGGCGGTCAGCTTGATCATCAGCCCATGAGGAGTCGCTGTATCCCTCGAGGTGAGGAGGGGTCGTGCCACCGAGAGTGAGAACGTAGTCCTTGGTGGCTTGGAGGTAGCGAAGGACGCGCTTAGCAGCCGACCAGTGGCGATTGGTGTATCGACCGGCAGCAACGTAACGCGAGAGCACACTGATGGGGTAGGCGAGGTCGGGCCTTGTGCACATCATCGCATACATGAGTGATCCGACGAGCTCGGGGTATGCCTCATCACAAGGCTCAGGCGATGGAACTGATGGAGTGGTCAGATCATGCTGCAAGGGAAGGGGAGTGGCCACTGGCTTGGCGTTGTCCATGGCAAAACGCTTGAGGACGTTGTTCACATAGAACTCTTGAGAGAGAGTGATGGTTCGAGCATCGCGATCCCGCGAGATTTCCATCCCAAGGTAGTTCTTGAGTTCACCGAGGTCCTTCATGGCGAGAGCGTCCCCAAGAGCTTGCTTAACAGCTGCCAGCTGATCGGAGTCCTTGGAGACGAGAATCATGTCGTCAACGTAGACAAGGATGAAGAACGGGTTGTCGTTCTTGCGAATGAAGAGACTCGGATCGGCTGAGGAGGGGTGGAAGTCGAGTGACTCGAGGGTTGCCTTCAGCTTCTTGTGCCATTCCCGAGGAGCCTGCTTCAACCCGTAGACTGGTCGATTCAGCTTCCAGACCGTGCCGGGTGGAAAGGGTAAGGGAAATCCTTGAGGACGTTCCATGTAGATGTCCTCGGGGAGATCCCCTTGGAGAAATGCAGCAGAGACGTCCATGGAGTGAACGTCAAAGTTGCATCGAGCAGCGATGTCCAGCAGGGTCCGAAGTGTGGGCAGTTTGGCTGTCGGAGAGAATGTGTCGAAGAAGTCCAGGCCCTTCTTCTGCGTGAAGCCCTTTGCACAGTATCGCGCCTTGAAGACTGGGAGTTCGACAGGCAGCTGCTTGACGCGAAAAACCCATTTGCCACGGACAATGTTAACTCCTCGCGGAGGAGAGACGTCCGTGAAAGAGTTGTTGCGAATGAATGCTTCACACTCCGCGATCATGGCTGCGAGCCACTGGGGGGAGTGTGGTCCAGAGATGGCTTCATCATATGAGTTCGGGGTCGGGATGGATGGATTTTCTGAGAAGTTAAGAGTTGGAGCGTCGGCAAGGTCGGGGAAGAGATGGCAGAGCTGACGGATGGCACCATTGATCTCAATCAGCTCCTCATGCCTATCCTCCAAGAGGCCAGGCATGGATGCACCCCCGGCAGGAGGAGGCGGATTGAGGGAGATGCGAACAGAGAGGGCGAGAGGCGGAGCGGGACCATGAGAGCGGGTGCGGTGAGCAATAGGGACAGGAGAGGAGGGAGGTGGCGGGGGAGCAGGTGGGACATCGACATAAGAGCGTCCGTGGCGACGGCGACGATAGGTGATGGGCGAGTCGGGAGGAGAGGTGGAGGTTGGAGGTGGAAGCGGAGGTGAAGGCGGGGAGGGAGGCGCGGGGGCAGGGGGAGCCACAGAAGGAGAGGGAGGTGGAGGGGCAGCTGCAGGAGCGGGTGCAGGGGGAAGTGCAGGCGCGGGCGGAGGTGAACGGGCAACTGAGCCAGTGGGCGAAGAGGGGTGAGAGAGAGTGGAAGGAGATGGGGAAGGTGAGAGTGAGGGGGCCGCAGGAGCGGCAGAGGGAGGAGGTGGGGTGGGTGAAGTATCGAAATCGGCCCACACAAGCGAAGGTGGAGCGGTGGGGGGTGGTGAAGAGAGGTAAAAAAGGCGACTCTCGTCAAAGGCGACATCGCGGCTACGAATGAGCTGATTGGTGGAGAGATTGAGGAAAAGGTAATCGGGAGAGTCCAGGTTGTGGCCGAGGTAGACACAGGGTTGAGCTTTGGGTGCAAATTTGCCGCCGTGGGTGCGACGTTCCTGAGGGTTGAGGAGGACATAAGCTGTACACCCCCATACGCGGAGAGGACGTGCACTGGGCTTGGTGCCGGTCCACAGTTCAGCGGGAGTGATGGCAGGCCGAAGAGGGTGAGGGTGAAGGTTGTACAGCAGCGTGGCATGAAGGAGGGCGTAACCCCAAAGGGAAGGTGGTGCACCAGCGTGAGTGAGAAGACAGCGAGCGATTTGCACGAGAGTGCGATTGCGACTTTCGGCAATGCCATTCTGCTGCGGACTGTGGGGAAGGGTGAAGGTCTGGCGAATGCCTTGGGAGGCACAGAACGCTTGAAGGGAATGGTTTCGAAATTCGCCACCGCCATCGGAATGGAGGCACTTGACTGAAGTGCGGAAATGATTTTGGGCTTGTCGAAGCCATGCGATGACGACATCTGGAACAGCTGCTTTGGAGGAGAGTAGGTGGACGGAGGCATAGCGAGAGTGATCGTCAACGAGCACTAGGAAGTAAGAGTGCCCGCCACGAGAGCGGACTGGAGCTGGGCCCCAGCCGTCCATGTGGACGAGGTCAAGCGGGGCGGCTGCAGCAGAGGGCGAGGAAGGGTGAGGCAACTGGCGTAGTTTGCTTTGCGCGCAGTCCAAGCATGGAGGAGCGGGAGAAGTGGAGGGTGGAGGAAGTGTGTCGGGCAGGTGAAGAAGCAACTTCTTAGACGCAAGCTCGGAGAGCATGCGGAAGTTGGGATGCCCAAGACGATGGTGGTAAAGAATGGTTGGATCGGTGAGCTGACGGCAGGAGCACGATGATGTGGTGGAGGTAGAGTGTGCTTCTGTGGAAGATGGAGGTACTTGGAGTGTGTAGAGGTTGTTGGCGGTCAGTGTGAAGCGTGCAAGTAGGGCATTGGTGGTGGGCTGAAGGAGATCACAGTGATTGGAATGAGCTGGGAAGATAGTGGTTACCCCTGCTCGTTGAATCTCATGTTGTGCAAGTAAGTTGTGCCGAAGAGTGGGCACGCATATGCCAGTGACTGTGCCAGATGGGAAGGCTGGGCATGGAAGAGTGGAGGAACCATGGGCGACAGTTGTGAAGCTGGAGTCAGCGCCCAGAAGAGGAATGGGTGCTTGGTATGGTTTGAAAGACTCTTTGTCTCGGAGGACTGTGTGGGTTGCGCCACTGTCCAGGACGAATTCAAGCGGTTTAGATGGTGTTTGTGGAGACGTCGAGTACTGGGAACTGGTTTCATTGATCATGGGAAGGCCAGGGAACAACAGGTTGAGACGAACATCAGGACTAGGGGCATGAACGGCTGAGTCCTGACTATCCTGTGCCTCAACCTGGTTGAGCTGGCGCATGCGAAGCCAGTTGGGCGGCTTGGAGTTGATACCATTCTTGGCGAACCAGTCGTCGTCCTTCTTTTTGAAACAGGTGGCGAGCGGGTGATTGGTGCCGCCGCACACCTGACCCGCACGGGGTCCCATTTTGATGACGTAAGGACAGGGTGGGTAGCGGTTACGAGTGGGTGGCGGATTGGGACGCGATGCTGGAGCCGGGACAGGAGCGCGAAGCGCATTTGCACGAGCCTGCGCAGTGTTGTCTTTTTCAGCAGAGAGAAGTGCGGAAGAGACTTTGGCAAAGGTTAGCTCTTCTGGCGGGAGATGGAGAAGCATGGAGCGGGTGACATTGTAAGAGGGGGTCAGCCCAACAAGCAGAGCTGCTGCAGGGGCTTGCTCTGGGAAGACAATGCCGAGTTGCTTCAGCTCCTGATGAATCCCTTGAATTTCAGCGACGTAATCTGCCATTCCAGGGCACTCCTCCAGAAGCACTTGAAACATGCGGGGGATGAGGATCGCCACCCCCACAGCGGTTTTGTTGAGGAAGCGGTCGTTGAGGTACTCCCAGATGGCGTGCGCGGAGGGGTAGTTATGGTAAGTTTTGACGAGCTCGGAAGGGGTAGTGCCGACGAAGACGCCAATGATAGCGACGTCGGCTTGCTCCCACACGCTGTAAGATTCCTCATACTTGGACATGGATTCCTCATGGGTTTTTAACTCTTCCCCTGTGGCTGTGGCCGAAAGCTTCTTGGGAAGGATCGGCATCTTTCCTTTGCCGCGATTGAGGAGGACATCCTTGAGGCAAATCCCCTCAATTTTGCGGCTTAGGAGATGCTTATCAACCCCATAGCTCCACTCCTTGAAGTTCGGGCTCGAGCCATTTGGGTCGAGGCGCAAGGGAGTGATCGGGTTTGAGAGAGACGCGGAAGGATACGCCATGATGCTCCAAGGACCCTTTCTCCGCGCGTAGCGCAGCTCTTAAGTCGCCGATAGGCACTTCGCGGGCTCCGCGAAAAACAGGGTTTCCCTTTGCGGATTTTCAACACTCGGAGAAGAGGAATAGCCGATAAAGAGGGAAATCTGAACGCCAAAAATCTATGGAAACCCGCGATGTGCTGCTGCAATCCCGCTGCTCCGCGACCCCCCCTTTTCCGCTTCACCGCTGCCCCCTTTCCGCTTCGCCGCTGCCCCCTTTCCGCTTCGCCGCTGCCCCCTTTCCGCTTCGCCGCTGCACCCCCCCGCTGTTGCAAGGGCGACGGGCGACAGCCCGTCCAGCTTCGACGAGCAGATGCGGGGCGACGGGCTCAGCCCGATCAGGTGCGACGAGCAGATGCAGGGCGACGGGCTCAGCCCGATCAGGTGCGACGAGCAGATGCGGGGCGACGGGCTCAGCCCGATCAGGTGCGACGAGCAGATGCGGGGCGACGGGCTCAGCCCGATCAGGTGCGACGAGCAGATGCGGGGCGACGGGCTCAGCCCGATCAGGTGCGATGAGCAGATGCGGGGCGACGGGCGTCAGCCCGAAAAGAAGCGCCGCGCTGAGTTGAGGCGACTAGAAAAGCTTTGCGCCGTAAGACGCAAATGCTAGGCTCCAACGGAGCGAGAGGATCAAGAGCCGCTTAGGCGGAAACGAGCTCTGATACCATATCAGAAACTGAGAACTTGATTGATTGAAATGAGCAAGAGCATACATCCTTAAGTACCGAGCATCGGAGAGGATGGGAAGGGATAAGGGAGAATCGGAAGGAATCCCAAGGGAATCCTCCCAAATCGTGGGGATTTGGGATGGATTGGGTTGGGATAGGTTGGGGATGAAAACATAGCTACACCCAACCTAACAAATATGAGTATCCCTAAAACCAACAAAGTGTCAACACACAAAATTGTGCCAACCGAATTGCAGCCTATCTCTAACATCATCATCATAGCATGCCATGCTATGTTATGCCGTCTCATCATCATAGCAAGCCATGCTATGTTATGCCGTCTCATCATCATAGCATGCCATGCATGCCATGCTATGTTATGCCGTCTCACCATCATAGCATGCCATGCTATGCTATGCCGTCTCATCATCATAGCATGCCATGCCATGCTATGCCGTCTCATCATCATAGCATGCCATGCAATGCTATTCCGTGTCATCATCATAGCATGCCATGCCATAACATGCTATGCCGTCTGAACATCATGGTGTGGCATGGATGGCTCCCCCCCGCCTGCCCTTCAGAGCAGACGAGCAGTCGTTGCAGGGGAAGGAGGTGCAGAAGGGGGGGGTGGGCGACCAGGGATGTAAGGAGGATGAATGCCTCCTCAATCAATACGTTCCCTCCCCTCTCACACCTCCTTACAGACTGCTCTGGTGGGAAATCTGTCATGCCACCCCGCCTCCTCTTCCCTTCACCTCACCCATCTCCGCCTTACTGCGTCACCACCCCTTGTCTGGTCCGTTTTCCCTTCCCTCCACTTTGGAAGGAACATCACCCCAACGCAAACTGCTCCTGTGGCTGAAGTTCGAGCTCTGTTGGAGCATCTACCCCTCCACCCCCGCCTCCTCCCTCTCTCCTCACCCCGTCAACTTATGCCCTGTTCCCAACCCCCCCCCCCCCTGTCCCCCGCCACCCAGACTGCTCCTGTGGCTGACCATCGAGCTTTGTTGGAACATCTACCCCTCCACCCCCGCCTCCTCCCTCTCCCTCCTCCTCACCCACCTCTCCCTCCTCCTCGCCCTCTGGATGGCGCCCCCCCGCCTGCCTTTCGGGGCAGACGAGCAGTCGTGGAAGGGGGGGTTGGAGGCAAATATGGAAGGCATGGGGAAAGAGGAGAGGGAGGCCATGTGGCAGCGGTATGTGGAGCAGGCTACGAGGGAGGCGCAAGCTGCTGCTGCAGCAGAGGCAGCGGCAGCAGGAGAGGGGTCTGTAGAGTCAGCAGCAGCAGCGGCAGCAGCAGCAGAAGGGTCTGCAGAGGGGACAGCAGCAGCAGACGGACCGTCACGAGAGGGGGCGAGTGGAGGGAGGAAAGCAGCAGGTTCAACAAAGAAAAAGGCAGTGTAAGGCGGCTGGCAGGGGAAGGAGGTTACCTGGCAGAGACTTATTGGAATGCAAGCAAGGCAAGCTGTGTGCAGTGGCAGGTTCCAACATGAGAAGGGCGGCTGTGTTGCAGCAGCAAGTGCGGGTGGGGGCAGGAGAGGGGCAGGTCAGGAGAAGAGGAGTGTGGAGAATTGTCGCTGGCTGCACTTGTAAGTGGCACAGTGCCAGCAGCAGAGGAGGCAGGAGAGGAGCGGACCCGGGGCAGGGGATGTGTGGGCCTCTGAGTCACAGGCCGAATTTCAGAGGCGGAAGAAGCAGCTGGTGGGGAGTTACGGTACAGGCTGGCTGCAAGCCAAGGTTTGTCCCATGAAAGCTGACGCTGCAGCTGCAGCTGAGGCAACTCAAGCTGCCCTAAGCTAGATGAGCAAGCTTGCTTAGGAGAATTCAGGAGCTACATGTTTGTACGGCTAAAATGGCCTACGCGCAAAGCTTTTACAGCAAGGAAATGACTATTTTACTGTATCGAATGAATTACAGATTCACATTGAAAGGACAACGTAAGTGGATTATGGGACCCTTGGCCGAAAAAAAAGGGGTGGCACTCGGACAACCCATCATCCATAAGGAAAGAAAACAAAGAGAGGAAATATTAAGGGAACCAAGCTAAACAGTAAGAGAACACGGTAACCCCACACAGGAGGGAAGCTGCTTTGTGACACTATCAGGGTTGAACCGCCCCATAGTCGCCCCAGTTGGCACCCTCCTCCCATTCCTCCTCCTCCTCTACCCTTCTCCTGCGCCTCCTGTCATACACCCCCCCCTCCTCCACCACTCTCTTCCTCTTATCATAGATCACCCCCCTCGCCTTCCCCTGTGAAACCCTCACTCCATTCAAATACTCCCTCACCATCCGCGTCGCAAACGGATTGGTCTCCGGCCTCCCTCCATTCTCCTCAAAAGCCGCACGCAGCCGGCCAATCAGAGCGTCCAGACTCCCCCACGCCTGCTTCATGGGGCAGGAACACGACTCCCTTACCGAGCTAGACCCATAAAGGGGACACCCTAAATCGTGTACGCGTGTCCGCCCAAACTGATCCATATATCGCATATACTCCACCACGTGGCGCGGTGTAGCACGAATCATTGCGACTGGCGGCTGGTGCCGGGCCAAATACTGGCTGAAGTTGTTCCAATCGCGCTGCTTCTGCGCGTCGTACTTATTCGCCGGGCGCGTCTGCCCCTGCAACGCCGCCTGACCAAACGGGGACGGCACAACCGCAGCACCAGGGGAGGAGGAATCGCCAGGACGAAGGGGAGCGAGAGGGGCAGCGGCGGGGACCGGGGTGAGGGGGGACTGGAGCGGCTGCTGCTGGTGCTGCATGTCTAGGAGCATGGAGAAGACGCCACTGGCGGACGAAGGGTTTGAAACCAGCGCGCCGGAACGATCTCCTTCGCCAGTCGCTGATTCCGTACCAGCGCCTTCTTCGACTTTAACTGTGACCTCGTTTTGAGTAGCTTCGTTTGGAGCAGCTTCGTTTTGAGCTGCTTGATTGTCCTGAGCAGCGGCGGCAGTCGAATTGTTAGCCGCTTGACCTGGTGAAGTCCCTTGCCCTGCTTCGTTAGGAGCTGATTCGTTTGTAGCTGCATCAACTTCATCTTCACCTCCTTCCGGCTCAGTTCCTTCCAGCGGCGCCTCTCCGTGTGCCGCATCTCCCGCTGCCAACGGCTCCTGCTCGTGCTGCGATGCGCCCCCTCCCCCATGGGCTAACTGCTGAGCGAACGTTGGGAGCTGAGCCGCTCCACCATGAATCGCCTCGTGGGGTAAGACTGAGTGATGCACCCCTCCCCCTTGGGTTAATTGCTGAGTGAATGCTGACTGACGCGCCGCTGCCTCCTGAATCAACTGCTGAGTTAACGCAGCGTGCAGCGATGCTCCCCCGAAAGTCGCCTCAAGATTTTGCGCCGAGTATTGTGCCGATCCAGAGTAGAATTGCTCGTGCGCCGACGCTCCCGCATTCGCCGGCTCGGGCTCCGTTGTCTGCGCGTGCAAGTTCGATGCGAGGTTTGAAATCCCGTCGCGGTACGCGCGGTACACAGCATTAGCGAACGGGTCCGCCATTGCACTCTCGGGATCAAGATGTGTGTCGCGCACGTTTCTTCTTTCCCTGCACAGTGCACACAGGGAAGACGAGGATGTGAGCAAGACTCGACTCGAAAATGATATAAGAACGGGTAGACAGAACCTTTCGAGGACGGGACGGGATCGACGGTAGGACGGAACTACTACTGTGTGTGGCGATGTAGCGATTGGAGCTATGGAATCACGACCAGGGCATTCGACGATGATGAAAGCGCAACCAGAAAGGCCATGTGGTTTTGACTGACATCTGGGCTGGGAGTGTACCAGATCTGGAATAGCTACAGTGGTAGCCAGTGTAGTTGCTGATTTCAGAAGGCAGAAAAGGTGAAAATAGAGAGAGATACACGGCGAAAGCCGTATGCAGTCGAGCTACACCTGCACTACACCCAGCAAGCAGCGAGAGCTACACCAAGCAGGCTTGCAATGTCAGCTACACCAACCAAGCTGCAGTTATGGGGTCTCTACACCAGGCGAGCTCGAGGTTCTTGAGATCACAGAGGTTCTTGAGGAAGGGAGGAGATAGAAATGAAGGAAACCCTAGGCGGACGACGATGGGGGAAGAAAGCGCAGACGGGACGAGCGCAATCTGTTGAAACAGTGGTTCGGGAGGCGGAGTTTTGGAGTTGGTGGTCTCGGGAAGGGTAAGAAACGAGTGGATTATACCTTAATACAACAGGCTCATCCTGTTTTTAAATGGTGGTTCGGCTCGACAAGGAAATGCCATTTTTGGGGGTTTCATAACTGCAGCAGTTTGGTTCTATTTTTGAATCTGTACAAAAAGCAATCGGCGACAGGCACTAGGCTAGAACCGTTACAACGGAAGGGAGATCAGGGCGTATTTTGTTCACTCTTCTAGAACAGGCGGGATCCAGGTTTTCTGGGGGTGCGGTGCATGAACTGCTCCCCCTGTCTGCCATCTCCGCTTTCGAGCGGAAAACTTTGCTGGGTGTCCGCCAAAGCGGAAACAAAACGAGCAACAACAGCCATCGTTCGATATGCATTTGACATGCGATCTTGCCCGTCCATCCAACCGTGAAATCCGCTCGTCCTTATTTGTGCTCAACTCCTCGTCCTCCACCAGAACAAGAAATTTCTCATTATAAAAACACAGCGGTTTGTTTGTCAATGAAAATTGTAGGGAGTGGCTTATGTCTCATTTCTCGTATCATCCCAACCAGGGCCTAAGATATCAACCTTAAAGCCCTGGTTTGCTTAATTTCAATGCCTGCTTTTTCTGTGGTCTATGATTTTCCTGTGTTTGCAAACTGCCCATTGAGACTTACTCTTGAACAACAGGTCCCTCACAAGCCTTTGTATCATTTGCATTATCCAATGCCAAGATATGGCCTGAACCCGAAACACAAATCAGCCTAAAAAGCCTGATATCTCAGGCCCTGATCCCAACTCTTCGTTAGTTTTGTTTTGCTAAAATGGGGCTGAACAATTGGTTCAATTCAATAGGTTTGATATATTACGTCTGAATTTCACGTGATTCTGAATTTACAATCGCCTATAATAACATATCGCATGGCAACCATCTAAGACGGGCAAGAGAATCCTTAATGGATCCTGAATGGGAGATAAAATGGAGAGGAATCTTATGGTTATAGGTAGGAAGGTTGGAACTTCTCAAATTTCCACTTGGTCTAAGTGAGGCCAAGTTCATCATGATCTCTAAATTACCATTAGCATGTGGAACTCAACCGTGTTCTGTAAACAGAGATCTATATTTGCTTGACTGACAGCCACTGCACAAATCCCTTGGTTTGCTTGACAACTCTTGTGGCGACCATGAGCTTCGCGCAGTGAGATTCCAGTCGTTATGGTGGGATACAGAGAGACAGCATAACACCAAATTCCTTCGCGTCATAGGGTCGCCAGTATTTCGCGCGTATTCCGCTCATCGAGGGCTACCACTGGTAACCTAGTGGCGGTGGTGGCACCAGTCATGGTGGGATGCAGTGGGGCAGCATAGGACCAGATTCTTACTTAGCGACTTAGACTCACCAGTAGCGAACTCCGCTCGTCGAGAATGGTGAGATTCAGGGAGGCAGCATTACACCTAGTGGCATAGGCTCACCACTATCGAGCTCCGCCTGTCGATTCTAGTCATGGTGGGATACAGGGAGGCCAGATTCTTTACTTAGCGACATAGTAGGCTCATCACTAACGAGCTCCCCTCGTCGAGATTAATCATGGTGGGATACAGGGAGGCAGCGTTCGGCACGTGGGTTTTTAACAGAAATGGGTCGTCGACCGGATTCCTGCAGTTTGCCACGTGGCACGCTAACAGCGCTTTGGACCTGAAGCCTGAGGACTTCAGCTGGCACGTCGCATGTGCGTGAGGAGCCGCTTCGCGGTGTTACCGTTTTGATCGAGTCGTTACCACTTGTCCTCGTCGTTAGCTGTTGCTCGCGACATTACCACTTCTTCCCATCGTTGCATTTCGTACGGACTAGTAGGCTAGAGGCAGTACTCGTAAAGCTGGGCCCGTTAGCAGTTATAAATACCACCCAGTGACCCGTTTGGCTGTGAATCAGCGATAAACGGCACGCGAATTTCGTCATTTCACGCAGCCAAGTCGTCATTCCTCACGATCCGTCTCTATCTTGACCGACTGATGGGCAGACAAGCTATTCTCACCTCTCTCAGTTTACTCATCGCACTGGCCCAACTTACTCCCTCCCTTCAAACACCCTCCCGCGCTGCCCTTTCTCCTTGCTCCTTGCTCCGCTGTCCCCACCCTTCCCCCTTATCCCACAACTGTCGTTTCCGCTCCCATCTCGCCGTCCGTCCCCATCCCCCTGTGTGGAAGCGGCGGGAGGAGGGGGAAGAGAGGTTGGGGAGAGGGAGGGAGTGGGGGGAGAGCATGGTGATGTTCTTCCGCTTCCCCTCTCCCCTTACGCGCATGGCACCAGTACTGCGCCGCTGCTGCCCATTTCTGCACCTTCTCTTGTTCCTCCTGTCTGTCGTCTTCTCCCCCCATCCCCCCCATTCCAACCCCTCCCTCTCGCCCTTCGTCACACTGTCCGACCCCACCCTCACGCCCTTCGTCACAGTCACACCCATGCCTCTCATGCGGATCCCCCCCCGCCATCACAGGGACGTTCTTCTTTCAAGTCTGCGCCTTCCTCTGGGACCACCTCTCCTCCTACATCACCCATGCTGCTCATGCAGAACCACCCCCCCGCCTCTCCCCATCACATAACGCCCCTGCTGCTCTCCCCATGTTGATTCCCCCCCTTCCATCACAGGGACTCTTTTCCTCCACTTCTGCGCCTTCCTCTGGTTGCACCTCTCCCCCTACGTCACCCCCATGCTGCTCCCCGTTGCTGCTCCCCGTTTCTGCTCCCCCATGCTGAACCCCCCACTCCACAGGGACTCTCTTCCTGCAGTTCTGCGCCTTCCTGTGGTCCAAGCTCTCCCCCTACATCACCCCCGCGCTCGCCCCGTACCTGCCGGCGTGGCAGCAGCAGTGGGTGGCGTTCCAAGCCGTCCTCATGGACCCCTGCTCGCAGCACGCCCTCATGGCCGACACCCACCTCCTCTTCCTCCTCCTCGTCGCCCTCGCCTCTCTCGTGCGCGCGCTCCAGCCCGCCCCCCGCCTCGGCCCCGGGGTCACCCCCGAGCAGCTGCAGCAGCAGCACTGGCTGCACCACCGGCGCCACGTACGCGTTTTAGAGGGGTCTCTGTACACGGTTACAGTGGTCCTAACCATGCTGGTGGGGCTAGCGAATCTAGTGGTTTCCCTCTGGTATGTGTGGCCGGGGTGGAGGGAGGAGTGGTCCGACTGCCCCATATTCGAAGACCTGCTGCCGATCGTGCAGTGTGTGGCATGGTTCGGCATGTCTTGGTCGGTGATGGAGGAGAAAAGACAAGGCGCCACGTGGCACTTCTTCACTCTACGGCTCTGGTGGTCCGCAGTCTTTTTCCTCAACTCCTGGAGTGTGATCTACTCGCTAGTCCAGATGCACAAGGGAGTGCCTCTCTCTGTAGATGCGGCCCTTGGGATCATCGCCTGGCCAATTTCCGCATTCCTTTTTGCAGTGGCTTGCCAGAAGCCCCCTCCAGTTCACCGCCCGAACGAACCGCTGACCGAATCGCTTCTTTCCGGGCTGCCCGGAGTAGCAGACCAGCCCACCGACCCGGGGGTCACCCCCTGGGAGCGGGCAGGTTGGTGGAACGTTCTCACCTTCCAATGGATCAACCCGCTGCTCGCCAAGGGGCACGAGAAACCTTTAGACCTGCCCGACATCCCGTTTCTAGCGGACTGGGACACTGCGGATGCTGCCCGGGAAGCTTTTTACCGCACCTGGGATCGAATCCGGCTGTACACGCCGCTGCAGCAGCCGTCTATCACGTGGACACTCTGGCTTACCTACTGGAGAAAGTTCCTGGCAATTGCGTTCTGGGCTGGGCTGGAGACGGTATTACTGTACATAGGCCCGTCACTGCTGGCTGAATTCGTGAGGGTGGTGGGGGGAGATGTGCCTTTGCTGACCTTCGGGGGAGGGGGCTCAGCTAGTGTTTGTGCTGCTGGTGCTCCTGGTGGCATTGCTGCTGCTGCTGGCGGTGGCAGCTGCAATAGTGGTGACAGTGGCAGCAGCAGCAGCAGCTGGCATGTTGATTTGGCTGCTCCCTTAGCAGCGCTTGCAGCGGGCTTGACTGAGGCCTTTGGCTTAACCAGAGTGTTTAGCTCTGCCACTTCTGCCACTTCTGCCGCTACTGCTGCTGCCACCAATCTCACCTCCACCGCCCAAACCATCGCCTCTGTCTCTTTCGCTGCTACAACCACCTCTGTTGCTGCTACAGCTGCTTCTGTAGCCTTTATCGCTACAGCAGCTGCAGCAGCAGCACCAAGCCCCGCGCCTCCCCCGGACGACCCGTGGGCGGAGTGGGAGGGGTACTGGCTGTGCGGGGTGCTGCTGTGGTGCAAGCTGCTGGAGACGGTCGCCCAGCACCAGTTCTACTTTAGATCTGATATTCTCGGGATGAACGTGCGGGCGGCGCTCACAGGCCACGTGTTTGACAAGGCATTGAGGCTGAGCAACGCAGCCAGGCACGCCCACCCCATGGGGGAGATCGTCAACTACATGGCGCTGGACGTGCAGGTGGGTGGAGGGGTGGAGGGTTCGAGGGCTTAGGGGTTTGCTGCACGCAACAGTGGGCCCAGCAGGGACGCTAGCAGGCATGCGTGGCGACGACGCTCGTGATGATGTGGGTGCGGCTGGTGATGATGATGTGGGTGCGGCTGGTGGTGATGATGTGGGTGAGGCTGGTGGTGATGATGTGGGTGCGGCTGGTGGTGATGATGTGGGTGCGGCTGGTGGTGATGATGTGGGTGCGGCTGGTGGTGATGATGTGGGTGCAGCTGGTGGTGATGATGTGGGTGCGGCTGGTGGTTCCAGGACAGGTCAGGGTATTATGATATGATATACATGCCAGCTTCACCAGCCTCTCCCCTTCCCTCCTCCCTCCCTTCCCCTTCCCTCCTGCTTCCCCCTTTCCCCCCTGCAGCGTGTGGCTGACATGATGTTTCAGCTCAACAACCTCGGGACGCTGCCCCTGCAAATTCTCCTGGCGCTGCTGCTGGTATCTGCATGCAACAGTGAGGCCCCTTTCATCTCCTTCCCCTCCTCCTTCTCCCCCCTCCCTCTCCCTCCACTCCCCCCCCCCCCTTCCCCCCTGCAGCGTGTGGCTGACATGATGTTTCAGCTCAACAACCTCTGGACGCTGCCCCTGCAGATCCTCCTGGCGCTGCTGCTGCTGCACGTCACGGTGGGCCCAGCAGGGACGCTAGCAGGCGTGGCGACGATGGTGGTCATGATGTGGCTGCAGCTGGTGGTGGCGGGGCAGGCCAGGGAGTGCCAGAAGGAGCGCACCGCCTGGCAGGACCTCAGGCTTAAGGCGACCACGGAGGCGCTTAACAACATGAAGGTGCGTGCAAGGTAGACATGGGCAAAAAAAATCGCATCGCATCGCATTTAATCGCGTTTTTGCGATGGCGATGTTTTTTTTTTTTTTTTTAATCATCGCGCGATGCGATGAATTCATATCGCGCGATTTAATTCAAATCGCATTTTAATCGCGCTAAAAAACGCGATTTAAATGCGATATGCGATTTTAAAAAAATCGCGCACGATATTGCACTGAAACCCACTCTGAAACCCACTATGAAACCACACTGGTTATTTGCACTCTAGCTTACGACTGCCCGTGAGTCAATTTCCCCGCAGCCATGTTTTTTTTCCGTTTTTTTGGGGTGTTTTTTAATTCTGTTTTAAAACGCGATGCGATTTAAAATCGCATTGCGCGATTTAATTAAATATCGCATGCGATTTTTTAATACATCGCAGGTAAAATGCGATTTGCGATTTTTTTTTTGGAAAAATAAATCGCACGATGCGATTTAAAATCGCATCGCTTTTTTAAACATCGCACCTGCATGCGATGCGATTTAAATCGCAATCACGTTTTGATCATGTCTAGTGCAAGGGGAGGGTGAGTAGAACGAAGGAAGAGAGGGAGAGAGGGAGTGGCGACGATGGTGGTTATGATGTGGCTGCAGCTGGTGGTGGCGGGACAGACAGGCCAGGGAGTGCCAGAAGGAGCGCACGGCCTGGCAGGATCAAAGCCACGACAGAGGCACTCTATTTTTGAGGCGCCTAAAAAATAGACTCCTCACGCATGGATCTTAGGCTCAAAGCCACGACAGAGGCACTCTATTTTTGAGGCGCCTCAAAAATAGACTCCTCACGCATGGATCTAAGGCTCAAAGACACGACAGCGGCACTCTATTTTTGAGGCGCCTAAAAAATAGACTCCTCACGCATGGATCTAAGGCTCAAAGCCACGACAGAGGCACTCTATTTTTGAGGCGCCTCAAAAATAGACTCCTCACGCATGGAGATAAGGCTCAAAGCCACGACAGAGGCACTCTATTTTTTAGGCGCCTCAAAAATAGACTCCTCACGCATGGATCTTAGGCTCAAAGCCACGACAGAGGCACTCTATTTTTGAGGCGCCTAAAAAATAGACTCCTCACGCATGGATCTAAGGCTCAAAGCCACGAGAGAGGCACTCAACAGCATGAAGGTGATCGCTGCTTGAATCAAGGCTTCCATGCCCTCCCTCGCCGGTGCGTGCTGTGTTCACGATGCGCCTATAAATCTCCATAGCTTTTCGTTTTTTTTCTGGATGCATTCAACCCCCCACCCACACCTCCCTCCCGTCCATCCCGATCCTCCCCCTCTCCCACCCCCCCCCCCCCCCCAGGTGATCAAGCTGCATGCGTGGGAGGGGCGCTTCCTGGAGCAGATAGAGGACTATCGGGCGGAGGAGGCAGCCTGGCTGGCACGCTACAACTACCTCATGGCGGCCAACATCGTGCTGCTCTGGATGTCGCCGCTGCTGGTGGCATCCGCCACCTTCGCTGCGTGCGTGGCCTTCCAAGAGCCCCTTTCTGCTGCGTCCATCTTCACTGCCATCGCCACCTTCCGCATTCTCCAGGTGGGTGGGGGGGGGGGGTTTGCCCTTTCACGTGTTTCTCGGTTCAGCCAGCCTGCTGCACCTTGGCCACGTGCGTGGCCTTCCAAGAGCCCCTCTCCGCTGCCTCAATCTTCACTGCCTGCCACCACATCGCGGCCCTGTTCCATTCCTCCCTACTTCTGCCCGTTAACTACCTCCCTCCCTGCTCCCATTCTCAACTCGTGTCCTCCCCCTCCTCTCCTGCCGCCCTCCTTGTACCCATTGCTCTCTTCCTCCTCTTTAGCCGACCTTCTTTTCCACCCCATTCTCCCTCTCCTCTCCGCTGCCCTCCAGGAGCCCCTTCGCTCGTTCCCTGATGTCCTCTCCTCCATCTCCCAAGCACTCGTGTCTCTCGACCGCCTCGCCAGGTACTTACTGCTAGACTGCAAGCCTGTTAGCCTGTTAGACTTCTAGACTGCTCCCTGCTCCCTGCGTCCTGCGCCTTTGGCCCGTCTCCATGCGTTCTGCATCTTTCGGCCTGTGCCCTGCACCCTTGTGCCGTTACGTGCCTCCTTGCCCCAATGTCGCCAGGTGCTCTAGTCTTGCCAAACCTTTCCGTGTGCATCGATAACCCGTTTCTCTGTGCCGGCCGCCGTCCCTTCCTCCTCCGTCCAGAGATTGCATCTCTTCACAGATTAGTTTTCCTTCTCCTCCACAACAACCCCGTGGTTCTCCCTCCCTCCTCCCGGTCATCCTCTTCTTCCCCCCCCCGCGCACGCACCAATTGGTGCAGGAGATTCGAGTTACAGCAGTCTCATGGCTGGCTCTCCCCAGAGGACTTGGAAGACGTTATCCTGGTCCATGTGGGGCCATTCACCTGGGGTGGCGCCTGCCTTCCCCCACCATTGTTGCCATTGCAGGTACCAGTCAGTGCAGGAGTCTAGTTTTGAGGCGCCTCAAAAGTCACTTTGTTGCCATTGCAGGTACCAGTCAGTCAGTGCAGGAGATAAAAGTCACAGCAGTCTCGGGGCTCTCCCCAGAGGACACAGGGTCACTGTCTTTGTCGATGGAGGGGCGTTCACATGGACCTGCCCCCGCCGCACCTGCTGCACATGCATGCGTCCATGTCTCCATCCCCTTTCCACCCCCAATCCCCCATTGCAGGTACCAGTCAGCGCAGGAGATCGAAGTGACAGCCGTCTCATGGCTCTCCCCAGAGGACACGGAAGATGCGGTTTTTGTCGACGGAGGGGCGTTCACGTGGGACCTCCCCCCGCCGCACCTGCTACACATGCACCGCCCCACGCTGAGGGGCATCGGCATGCAGATAGGACGAGGCGCGAGAGTGGCGATCTGCGGGCCTGTTGGGTCAGGCAAGTCGAGCCTGCTCAGCTGCATCTTGGGGGAGATGCACAAACTGTCCGGGATTGTAAGTCCGATTGGGTTTCATACACAAAGCCCACATTCCACGAGATCACATGCCACGAGGTCACATGCCACGAGGTCACATGCCACAAGGTCACATGCCACGAGGTCACATGCCACGAGGTCACATGCCACGAGGTCACATGCCACAAGGTCACATGCCACGAGGTCACATGCCACGAGGTCACATGCCACAAGGTCACATGCCACGAGGTCACATGCCACGAGGTCACATGCCACGAGGTCACATGCCACGAGGTCACATGCCACGAGGTCACATGCCACGAGGTCACATGCCACGAGGTCACATGCCACGAGGTCCCTGTTGGGAATTGTTGGTCTGCCGCAGATGCTCAAGCTGTGCGCATGCTGGGGTGGCCAAGTCGAGGCCCCTTAGCTGCATTTGAGGGGAGAGGCACAAGCTGTTCCGGATTGTGAGTACAATTGGGTATGAGCCTGAATTGTTTTTTCCCTGCGGATGCTCAAGTTGTGCACATGCTGGGTTGCCCAAGTTGAGGCCCCTTAGCTGCATTCTGTGGGAGATGCACAACTGTTTGGGTTTGATTTGATTTGATATGGTCTTGAAGTCCAGACGGAGTCTGGTAAGCAGAATAAACTGGGCTGTGAACCAGTAGGGGTTATATGTATACAAGGATTGGGATCCTGGTGGTTCGTTTGTACCACATGTCGTGTCAATCGACTCAAGATTGATCTTTCCGATGCCGCACCCCCTCCCTCCCCATGTAGGTGCAGGTGGCTGGTGCTATACTACGTATGTGCCTTGTGACTCAATGATAAGTCCTTCCTCTGTCTCACTTACTCCCTTCCCTTCTCGTTCTCTCACTCCCTCCCTCCCTCACTTCCTCCCCCATTCCCTCTCCCTTCCTCCCTCCCCACTCCCTCTCCCTTCCCTGCAGGTGCAAGTGGTGGGCACCATGGCACATCCGTTATGTGCGGCACTCACAGTTGTCTCCCACTCGTTCCCTCTCTCCCCACACCTCCCCTGCAGGTGCAACTGATGGGCACAATAGCGCACGTGGTTCACTAGCCTTTTCTCATTGTTCTCACTTCCTTACTCCTGCCCTCCCTCCCCCACTCCCCACCTCTCCCCTGCAGGTGCAAGTGGCGGGCACCATAGCGCACGTGCCACAGACCCCGTGATTTTTGAGTCAACTCAAAAATCTCCCCACCTCTCCCCTGCAGGTGCAAGTGGCGGGCACCATAGCGCACGTGCCACAGACTCCGTGATTTTTTAGTTGACTCAAAAATCTCCCCACCTCTCCACTGCAGGTGCAAGTGGCGGGCACCATAGCGCACGTGCCACAGACCCCGTGGATCCAGAACGGCACCATCCGAGACAACGTCACCTTCGGCCTTCAGATGAACCGCGCCCTCTACGAGCGCGTGCTGCGCGTGTGCGCCCTCGCTGCTGACCTGGCAGGTGAGTTGTGCTGCTGACCTGGCATGTGAGTTGTGCTGCTGACCTGGCAGGTGAGTTGTGCTGCTGACTTGGCAGGTGAGTTGTGCTGCTGACTTGGCAGGTGAGTTGTGCTGCTGACTTGGCAGGTGAGTTGTGCTGCTGACTTGGCAGGTGAGTTTTGCTGCTGACTTGGCAGGTGAGTCGTGCTGCTGTCTTGGCAGGTGAGTTGTGCTGCTGACCTTGCAGGTGAGTTGTGCTGCTGACTTGGCAGGTGAATTGTGCTGCTGACCATCACGGCAAGAAAACCATGCCTTTGTGTCCTCACACATGTCGCACCCTGTGTTGATTGACGTGGCAGTGCTGCCACGTGGCGACGAGACGGAGATCGGGGAGCGCGGGATCAACCTGTCGGGCGGGCAGAAGCAGCGCATCCAGGTGGCGAGGGCGGTGTACCACGACGCCGACATCTATCTGCTGGACGACCCCTTTTCTAGTGTCGATACCGCCACTGGGTCTATGATCTTTGATGTAAGCATATTGTCTATACGTTCACGTTAGTTCAAAACATATCTGCTGATCGACCCCTTCTCCAAAATCGGCACCCCCATATTCAGCGTGAGTGGGTGAGGTGTGACTGTGTGTGTTGTGATTGTATGGGTGTTCAATGTGGTCACTATATTAAACTTCCGTACTCCCACCTCTTTTTTCCAAACTCACCTTTAGGCTTTAGGAGTGGTGCTGGCCTTTTTTGGTGCCAGGGCAATCTTATAATCACACAGAGACCATACAGTGTCCGAGAACCAAATACTCACCTCCGCACTATCATCTGGCTTAGCCGTTTTCTCATCACCAGGTGCGAGCTTGACCCGCTAGGTACCACGACTGGCACACCAGTTATCTCAAACCCAGTTTACACTCTTCCCGTTCTTCTATCTTAACTGTTCTCACCACCAGGAGTGCGTGCTGGGCCTCCTGGGCGCCAAGACCGTTCTCTTCGTGACCAATCAGCTGGAGTTCTTGCCTGCTGCTGACCTCATCCTGGTGCGTGCTGATGTCATCCTTGTGTGCGATGATGTCATCCTGGTGTGTGCTGATGTCATTGTGCTGGCAACAACAAGAAGCAATAGATTTGTTCTCGTCCGTGGGTGCACCACCCACTGTTCATTTTTTAGAATTAAAAAAAACGACTCCACCATCTGTGGGTACACCCACTTGCACAAAGTCTGCCATCTTTTGGGAATTCCCCTTTCTTTACTCAGACGCCCATTGACCTTGTACCTTAAAAATTTATGCCCTCACCTTGCACTCGATGTACTCCTCCACCGCACTCCACCAGCACGGACTTGTGTCCTTCTGACATCTCACAACGGTCTTCTCCATTCCGCCGCACTCCACTCCCTACCTCTCATCAGGTGATGCGGGACGGCGAGATAGCCCAGGTGGGGAAGTACGAGGAGGTGCAGCGGGCGGGCATGGGCCGAGGGATTTCAGGGCCTCGAATCCGTCTCTCATTTCAACCCTTCCAGCACCCCTCGCACCCCAGCAACCTGTCTGCTCTCTTTCACTGCACCCCACCGCACTACACCCCCTCCTACCTTCAGGTCATGAGGGACGGCGAGATAGTCCAGGCAGGGCAGTATGAGGAGCTGCAGCGCGCCGGCACGGACTTCTCGCTCCTGATGGACGCCCACAACGACGCCATGGACTCCATGGACCTCCCACACCCCTCGCACCACCCCAACCACCCCCCCCAACCCCAACGTGCCCCGTCCCTTGGGAACATCCTAGCTGCAAACGGCGATGTCTTTTCTCGTTTCGACATGGACGATCAAGAGCTTGCCATGTTGCTGCTAGGTCCGGAAGCCGGCGCAGACGGGCTCGGGTTAGCCTCGGGCGGAGGCTCGGGAGGGATGGGAGGCTCGGGGATGGGTGGTGCGGGGGCTGGTTCGGGGGGTGCCGGGCCTAGTGGGTTGGCTCCGGATGGGTCGCTGGTGGGGATAGTGGGGGGGGCGGGGGGGGTGGTGGTGGGGCCAATGGCAGCGGTGGCAGCGGCGGTGGCGAGTGGAGCAGAGGACAGACAGTTTGGGCGGGTGAATGGAGAGGTGTACCGGGCTTATCTCACGAGGGCCTATGGCGGGTCCATGGTGCCGATCATTGTGGCGTCCCAGGTATGCTTAGGGGGAAGTTAGTGAGTTTATTGTAGAGTAACCATAGTGGCAAATGGAGCGGAGGACAGACAGTTTGGGCAGGTGAATGGAGAGGTGTAGTGGGATATCTTACAAGGGCCTATGGCGGATCTATGGTGCCGATCATCGTGGTGTCTCAGGTATGCGTTGAGGGAAGTTACAAAGTTTTTTTGTAGAGTAACCATAATGGGGAGTGAAGCGGAGGACCAGCAGTTTGGGTGGGTGAGGGAGGTGTACCGGGCGTATCTCACGCGGACGTATGGCAGGTCCATAGGTGCCAATCATCGTGGCGTCGCAGGTGTGCGTGGGGGAGGGTGCACTGCCGGACTGGGGAGATGCACAGATAAACATTGACACATGAAACTGTCTTTTCCTTCTCTCTCCCCTCCTCTGTCCCACTTTCCACCCTACCGTACTCCTCCCACCACCCTCAGGTGCTTTTCCAGGTGCTCCAGATAGGCGCCAACTGGTGGCTGGCTCGTGAAGTCCAACCCCTGCACCCAGCAGTGCTGACCTGGCCGGACGTGCGCGCATACGCGTCGCTGGCCATCGGCAGCGGCCTCTTTGTGGTGCTGCGCGCCTTCCTCTCCGTGCATGTGGGGCTGCGGACGGCGGATGGCTTCTTCCAAGACATGCTGCATGCCGTCTTCAGGGCGCCCATGGCGTTCTTCGACTCCACACCCACAGGGAGAACACTCGCTAGGGTGAGTCTTGGCGTCTTGGATGCAAAGGCGCCTTTCTCTCTGTGAGTCAGTTCTCAAGGGGCTGAGGATGACCTCTGCACCACACATCTCCCCACGACACCTCCCCCGGTGTAACCATCACTGGCCATCGGCAGCGGCCTCTTTGTGGTGCTGCGAGCATTTCTGTCAGTCCATGTGGGGCTGCGGACGGCGGATGGCTTCTTCCAAGACATGCTGCATGCCATCTTCAGGGCGCCCATGGCGTTCTTCGACTCTGTGCCCACAGGGACAACGCTGGCAAGGGTGAGTCTTGGAGTCTTGGAGTGGTAGAGTGGTAGAGTCAAGTCAATGCTTGTGACCCATGCTTGTGGGGCCCATGCTTGTGGGGCCCATGCTTGTGGGGCCCATGCTTGTGGGGCCCATGCTTGTGGGGCCCATGCTTGTGGGGCCCATGCTTGTGGTGCCCATGCTTGTGGTGCCCATGCTTGTGGTGCCCATGCTTGTGGTGCCCATGCTTGTGGTGCCCATACTTGTGGGACCCATGCTTGTGGGGCCCATGCTTGTGAGGTCCATGCTTGTGGGGCCCATGTTGTAAAATATATATCTATACAACATGCATGCCTAGATTAGGAGGTGTAGTCATTATAATTATTGGGGGGTTGTTGGTTGGGTTGACCAACCCCACATTTGGGTTGGTCAAGATTGGATTTGGTCCTAGACATTTGGTTGGCACTATTCCAACCAAATGCTCCTTGGTCCTAGGAACCAACCAATCACCAAGCACCACAATTTGTGGTTGCTTGCTCTCAAAGCAATCTCTCTCATTGGTCCACATTGTGGCCAATCGGAGAGCACCACACTTTGTGGTTGCTTGCCCTACAAGCAAACTCTCCCATTGGTCCACTTTATGGCCAATAGGAGAGCTTCCCTTCCAACTCTTCCTTGCTCCTTGTTTTGTACAAAAGAGCCTCTTGGCTCCCTACTCAATTTTATCCTTTCTCTTCTAAGCTAGTTCCTTCAGCTCATGCTTGTGGGGCCCATGCTTGTGGTGCCCATGCTTGTGGTGCCCATGCTTGTGGGGCCCATGCTTGTGGGGCCCATGCTTGTGTCTTGCCCATGCTTGTGGTGCCCATGCTTGTGGTGCCCATGCTTGTGGTGCCCATGCTTGCGGTACCCATGCTTGTGGTGCCCATGCTTGTGGTGCCCATGCTTGTGGCACCTGAGGAAAGCTGATGGGATTTTTTCCAAGACCAGCTGATCCTCCCAGCCCCACATGCCATGTTCCGACCACCCATGCTGTGGCGTTCCTTGTCCTTGCAGAGGGTTTGACAGTTTGAGTAAAGTCACAGTCGCCTTTTCAATTGTCCACGCCCCCCTGAGCTGAGACTGTATCTCTGCCCCACCCATAGCTTGTTCTTCATCCCACCCATCGATTGTTCTTCATCCCACCCATCGCTTGTTCTTCATCCCACCCATCCCTTGTCCTTCATCCCACCCATCGCTTGTTCTTCATCCCACCCATCGCTTGTTCTTCATCCCACCCATCGCTTGTTCTTCATCCCACCCATCGCTTGTTCTTCATCCCACCCATCGCTTGTTCTTCATCCCACCCATCGCTTGTTCTTCATCCCACCCATCGCCTGTTCTTCATCCCACCCATCGCTTGTTCTTCATCCCACCCATCGCTTGTTCTTCCTCCCACCCATCGCTTGTTCTTCATCCCACCCATCGCTTGTTCTTCATCCCACCCATCGCTTGTTCTTCCTCCCACCCATCGCTTGTTCTTCATCCCACCCATCGCTTGTTCTTCATCCCACCCATCGCTTGTTCTTCATCCCACCCATCGCTTGTTCTTCATCCCACCCATCGCTTGTTCTTCATCCCACCCATCGCTTGTTCTTCATCCCACCCATCGCCTGTTCTTCATCCCACCCATCGCTTGTTCTTCATCCCACCCATCGCTTGTTCTTCATCCCACCCATTGCTTGTTCTTCATCCCACCCATCGCTTGTTCTTCATCCCACCCATCGCTTGTTCTTCATCCCACCCATCGCTTGTTCTTCATCCCACCCATCGCCTGTTCTTCATCCCACCCATCGCTTGTTCTTCATCCCACCCATCTCTCTATACCATTCCCCTCCCCCACTCCCATCCCACCCCATCCCTCATCCACCAGGCCTCGGCCGACCAGAACGCGCTCGACTTGCAGCTCTTCTTCAACTTTGGATCGGTGCTCAACAACCTCGTGCAGCTTCTGGGAATCTTCCTTGTCACCTCCGCAGTCACGTGGCCGGTCATCGTGGTCCTCATCCCCCTTGCGCTGCTCTATGTGCCTCTTCAGGTGCGACAGGGTTTCGGGTTTGGGGTTTCGGGTTTCGGGTTTGGGGTTTGGGGTTTCGGGTTTCGGGTTTCGGGTTCGGGGTTTGGGGTTTAGGGCATCTCCAGCCCTACAGTTAGGACCTGTGAACAAGGGTGAGAGTCAAAGGTGCAAGAGGGTTTAGGGCATCTCTAACCTAAGTGGAGAAATACGCTCGCGCAGCCAAACGTATCGCATATGTACGCTGGCGTATATTCGCGATACGCAGTACGCTAAGGTAGTACGCAATGCGCTAAGGTAGTACGCAATACGTATTTCTCGGCGGTCTGCCCGGCGAGAAATGCGCAAAAAAAAATCTCTCGCAAGTCGCGACTTGGCGAATCAAGGCAGAAATTTTGCGAAGTCGCAAACTCGTTTTTGTCTTTCAATTCGACATCCCAACCCCTCCCCCCCTCCCAACCGCACAGTATTCCACCCAATCTACAACTCCCAACCAACACCCTCAATCCCCCCCCTCTTCCCCTCTCAACCGCACAACATCTCACCCAATCTACAACTTCCAACCAACACCCATCCACACCCCCTCCTCGTCCCCTCCCAACCGCACAGCATCCCACCCAATCTACAATTTCCACCCTATACCCACCCAATCCCCCTCGTCCCTCTCTACTCTAAGAATCTCACAGCGTGTTTCACTCCTATGCTTACGACAAATCCAGCCAGCGCAAATCTCTCCTCAGTCTAGCGCGCTAAGTTGGGATATATTTTTAACCTACATAGCTCCACTTTGTTGTCATGATAAATGGCAACATCTTTGGTGGGGGGAATTTGGTGCTCTGCACCCCCCCCTTTCCCCCCCCCCCCCCCCAAATAGAGTTTTTTCAGCCCTGCCCGAACCTTTTTTTTCCTGCCCGCCCAAGCGTATTTCCTGCCGTTTCTAAAACCAGAATCAAGCGTACAGCGTATGTACTCTAGCGTATATACAGAATCGTATAATACGCAATACGCGTATTTCTCCACTTAGTCTCCAACCCTACAGTTAGGACCTGTGAATAAGGGTGAGAGTCCAAGGTGCGATAGGGTTTAGGGCATCTCCAACCCTACAGTTAGGACCTGTGAACAAGGGTGAGAGTTGAAGGTGTGAGAGGGTTTAGGGCATCTCCAGCCCTACAGTTCGGACCTGTGAATAAGGGTGAGAGTTAAAGGTGCGATAGGGTTTAGGGCATCTCCAAGCCAACAGTTAGGACCCGTGAACAAGGGTGAGAGTTGAAGGTGCGAGAGGGTTTAGGGCATCTCCAGCCCTACAGATAGGACCTGTGAATAAGGGTGAGAGTTAAAGGTGCGATAGGATTTAGGGCATCTCCAGCCCGACAATTAGGACCTGTGCACAAGGGTGGGAGTTAAAGGTGCGATAGGGTTTAGGGCATCTCCAACCCTACAGTTAGGACCTGTGAATAAGGGTGAGAGTCCAAGGTGCGACGGGGTTTAGGGTAGACATGGATATATCGCATCGTAATCGCGATATATCGCATCGCGTCATATCGCGTTCTGCGATCGCCATATTAATTCATTTATTTTTCATAAAAAAATCGCAGCGATGCAATGCGATAATATCGCGCGATATTTTTAATATCGCGGATTTTTCGGCGCGATAAAGCGCGATATGTGATATCATAATATCGGGCGCCATACATCCGCATATCGCGTCACGGAATTGCGCCTGAGAGGGGGGAGAGCATGGGCGCGGGCCCTGAACTTAGCAAAATTTAGGGTTCTCTGGTTGTAATGGCGTGCGGAAATTGCTCGCGGTTGTTTGGGGTTGGCGTAATTGACGGGGAGGTGTTTGTGAGGATCTTGGAGAGGAAGGGTTGGAAATTCTAGTTGAAAAGGAGTGCAGTGCGGTTGAGGGAGGGGAGTTGGCTGGAGGTTCAAATTTTGACATGGGCGGTGGTGGATAGTGAGCGAGTGGATTTTATGGATGGAATGTGGTGGTGTGCGGTTAAAGGGATTTAAAGGGTTGATTGAAATCTCAACCCCCACAAAGTCAATTGGTTGGAACTCCAGCCAATTTCCACCACTTCAACTGCACTAAATTCTTCCGCATCTACAGAATCCAACCCCTGCCCCTCTAACACGCTCTACATCAGAGAGGGGCCACGATATCCCATTCTCCCGTCAAACTTCACTCACCTAATTCCTCGCGCACCTAGGAAAGCCGGCCTTGTCGTTATGCTTTTCTCCTCTGACCCCTAAATGCAATTCGATATGAAATCGCATCGCGCGATATATCGCATTTATGGGTGCGATATTTTTTTACATCGCACCCTAAAAAGCGATATGCGATTTCAATTTTTTACACAGAATATCGCAGCGATGCGATATGCATCGCTGCGATATCACGCGCGATATGACAAAATGCGATGCGATATCGCATCGCATTTCAACCGTCTCTAGTTTAGGGCATCTCCAACCCTACAATTAGGACCTGTGAATAAGGGTGAGAGTTAAAGGTGCGATAGGGTCTAGGGCATCTCCAACCCTACAGTTAGGACCTGTGAACAAGTGTGAGATTCAATGGTGCGATAGGGTGTAGGGTATCTCCAGCCCTATAGATAGGACCTGTGAACAAGGGTGAGAGTTAAAGGTGCGATAGAGTTTAGGGCATCTCCAACCCTACAGTTAGGACGTGTGAATAAGGGTGAGAGTCAACGATGCGATAGGGTGTAGGGCATCCCCAACCTACAGATAGGACCTGTGAACAAGGGTGAGAGTTACAGGTGCGAGAGGGTTAGGGCATCTCCAGCCCTACAGTAAGGACCTGTGAATAAGGGTGAGAGTTAAGGGTGCGAAAGGGTTTATGGCATCTCCAGTAGACATGAGCAATCCCGGGTAATTACCCGACTCGACCCGGTTTTTCCTACCCGCGATCGGGTCCGGGTCGGGTTGAAGGAACTAGCTTAGAGGAAAAATGATTGAATTGAGTAGGGAGCCAAGAGGCTCTATTGTACAAAACAAGGAGCAAGGAAGAGTTGGAAGGGAAGCTTTCCTATTGGCCATAAAGTGGACCAATGGGAGAGTTTGCTTGTAGGGCAAGCAACCACAAAGTGTGGTGCTCTCCGATTGGCCACAATGTGGACAATGGGAGAGATTGCTTGGAAGGCAAGCAACCACGAATTGTGATGCTTGGTGATTGGTTGGTTCCTAGGACCAAGGACCATTTGATTGGAATAGTGCCAACCAAATGGCTAAGACCAAATCCAATCTTGACCAACCCAAATGTGGGGTTGGTCAACCCAACCAACAACCCCCCAATAATGATAATGATTACACCTCCTAATCTAGGCATGCATGCTGTATAGATATATATTGTACAACACGGGTAGGGTCGGGTAATTTCCAGGTAATTTTTGGAGGTCTATTACCCTACCCGGCATTTTAATACCAGGTAATTGGGTACCCGTCTGGCGGGTCGGGTATACCCGACCCGCATTTAATAGAAGTCGGGTAATATTACCCGGGTACCCCTAGGTGGCTGTAAAATTCAGCACACCTGGAGTAACAAACCCGAAGTCGGGTCGGGTGCCCGTGACCCGACGGGTAATAAATTACCCGACATTTCGGGTAATTCTCGGGTAACGGGTTTGCATTACCCGGCCCAAGTACCCGACCCGACTTGGCCAGGTAATTCATCAAAATCCTATTACCCGACCCGGCCAAAATGTCGGGTCGGGTCGGGTACTCATGACCTGACTGGGTAAAATGCTCAAGTCTTATCTCCAGCCCTACAGATAGGACCTGTGAACAAGGGTGAGAGTTAAAGGTGCGATACGGTTTAGGGCATCTCCAACCTACAGTTAGGACTGTGAGAAACTGAGAACTTCATTAATTGAATGAGCAAGAGCATACATCCTTAAGTACCTAGGATCGGAGAGGATGGGAAGGGATAAGGAAGAATCGGAGGGAATCCCAAGGGAATCCTCCCAAATCGTGGGGATTTGGGATAGATTGGGTTGGGATAGGTTGGGGATGAAAACATAGCTACACCCAACCTAACAAATATGCGTATCCCTAAAACCAACTAAGTGCCAACACACAAAGTTGTGCCAACCGAATTGCAGCCTATCTCTAACACACCCCCTAGGCTGCAACGTCGGAAATCGTAGGGACGCCAAGTCCCATGGTACGGAGGAGACGATAGTGATTACGACGTCCAAGAGCCTTTGCAACAAGTCGGCGAGGTTGCAGTCAGAGGAAATATGCTTGACGTTGAACGCCATTGAAACAAGTGCGATTGCGACTTTCGACAATGCCATTCTGCTGCGGACTGTGGGGAAGGGTGAAGGTCTCGCGAATGCCTTGGGAGGCACAGAACGCTTGAAGGGAATGATTTCGAAATTCGCCACCGCCATCGGAACGGAGGCACTTGACTGATGCGCGGAAATGATTTTGGGCGTGTCGAACCCATGCGATGACGACATCTGGAACAGCTGCTTTGGAGGAGAGTAGGTGGACGGACGCATAGCGAGAGTGATCGTCAACGAGCACTAGGAAGTAAGAGTGCCCACCACGAGAGCGTACTGGAGCCGAGCCCCAGACGTCCATGTGGACGAGGTCAAGCGGGGCGTCTGCAGCAGAGGGCGAGGAAGGGTGAGGCAGCTGGTGTTGTTTGCTTTGCGCGCAGTCCAAGCATGGAGGAGCGGGAGAAGTGGAGGTTGGAGGAAGTGTGTCGGGTAGGTGAAGAAGCAACTTCTTGGACGCAAGTTCGGAGAGCATGCGGAAGTTGGGATGCCCGAGACGATGGTGGTAAAGAATGGTTGGGTAGGTGAGCTGGCGGCAGGAGCACGATGATGTGGTGGAGGTAGAGTGTGCTTCAGCAGAAGAAGGAGGTACTTGGAGTGTATAGAGGTTGTTGGCGGTCAGTGTGAAGCGTGCAAGGAGGGCATTGTTGGTGAGCTCAAGGAGATCACAATGATTAGAATGAGCTGGGAAGATAATGGTTACCCGTGCTCGTTGAATCTCATGTTGTGCAAGTAGGTTGTGCCAAAGAGTGGGCACGCATATGCCAGTGACTGTGCCAGTTGGGAAGGCTGGGCATGGAAGAGTGGAGGAACCATGGGCGACAGTTGTGAAGCTGGAGTCAACGCCCAGGAGTGCTTGGTATGGTTTGAATGACTCTTTGTCTCGGAGGACTGTGTGGGTCGCGCCACTGTCCAGGACGAATTCAAGTGGTTTAGATGGTGTTTGTGGAGACGCTGAGTACTGGGAACTGGTTTCATTGATCATGGGAAGGCCAGGGAACAACAAGTTGAGACGAACATCAGGATTAGGGGCATGAACGGATTAGTGCCTCAACCAGACTATCCTGTGCCTCAACATGGTTGAGCTGGTGCATGCGAAGCCAGTTGGGCGGCTTGGAGTTGATACCATTCTTGGCGAACTAGTCGTCGTCCTTCTTCTTGAAGCAGGTGGCGAGCGGGTGATTGGTGCCGCCGCACACCTGACCCGTACGGGGTCCCATCTTGATGACGTAAGGACAGGGTGGGTAGCGGTTACGAGTGGGTGGCTGATTGGGACGCGATGCTGGAGCTGGGACAGGAGGGCGAAGCGCATTTGCACGAGCCTGCGAAGTGTTGCCTTTTTCAGCAGAGAGAAGTGCGGAAGAGACTTTGGCAAGGTTAGCTCTCTGGCGGGAGATGGAGAAGCATGGAGCGGGTGACATTGTAAGAGGAGGTCAGCCCGACAAGCAGAGCTGCTGCAGGGGCTTGCTCTAGGAAGACAATGCCGAGTTGCTTCCGCTCCTGATGAATCCCTTGAATCTCAGCGACGTAATCTGCCATTCCAGGGCACTCCTCCAGACGCACTTGAAACATGCGGGGGATGAGGATCGCCAACCCCACAACGGTTTTGTTGAGGAAGCGGTCGTTGATGTTCTCCCAAGTGGCGTGCGCGGAGGGGTAGTTATGGTAAGTTTTGACGAGCTCGGAAGGGGTAGTGCCGACGAAGACACCAATGATAGCGGCGTCGGCTTGCTCCCACATGCTGTAAGATTCCTCATACTTGGACATGGATTCCTCATGCGCCTTTGACTCTTCCTCTGTGACCGTGGCCGAGAGTTTCTTGGGAAGGACCGGCATCTTTCCTTTGCCGCGGTTGAGGAGGACATCCTTGAGACAAATCCCCTCAATTTTGCGGCTTAGGAGATGCTTATCAACCCCATAGCTCCACTCCTTGAAGTTAGGGCTTGAGCCATTTGGGTCGAGGCGCAAGGGAGTGATCGGGTTCGAGAGAGACGCGGAAGGGTACGCCATGATGCTCCAAGAACCCTTTCTCCGCGCGTAGTGCAGCTCTTAAGTCGCCGATAGGCACTTCGGCGAGCTCTTAAGAGCTGCGCGCAGCGCGAGCTCCGCGAAAAAACTAGATTTTCCTTTGCTGATTTTCAACACTCGGAGAGCGAGAATGGCCAATTAAGAAGGAAATCCGAACGCCGGAAATCTATACAAATTCTCGATATGCTGCTACAATCCCGCTGCTCCGCGACCCCCCCCTTCCCCTTTTCCGCTTCGCCGCTGCCCCCTTTCCACTTCGCCGCTGCTCCCTTGTCCGCTTCGCCGCTGCACCCCCCGCTGTTGCAAGGGCGACGGGCAACAGCCTGTCCAGCTTCGACGAGCAGATGTGGGGCAACGGGCTCAGCCTGATCAGGTGCGACGAGCAGATGCGGGGCGACGGGCTCAGCCCGATCAGGTGCGACGAGCAGATGCGGGGCGACGAGCTCAGCCCGATCAGGTGCGACGAGCAGATGCGGGGCGATGGGCGTCAGCCAAAGGAGAAGCGCCATGCAGATGCGGGGCGACGGGCGTTAGCCCGAGGAGAAGCGCCGCGCAGAGTTGAGACGGCTAGAAAAGCTTTGCGTTGTAAGACGCAAATGCTAAGCTCCAACGGAGCGAGAGGATCAAGAGCCGCTTAGGCGGAAACTCGCTCTGATACCATGTCAGAAACTGAGAACTTCATTAATTGAATGAGCAAGAGCATACATCCTTAAGTACCTAGCATCGGAGAGGATGGGAAGGGATAAGGGAGAATCGGAGGGAATCCCAAGGGAATCCTCCCAAATCGTGAGGATTTATGATAGATTGGGTTGGGATAGGTTGGGGATGAAAACATAGCTACACCCAACCTAACAAATATGCGTATCCCTAAAACCAACTAAGTGCCAACACACATAGTTGTGCCAACCGAATTGCTGCCTATCTCTAACAAGTACCTATGAATAAGGATAAGAGGTGGGAGGATAGCATGCAGGTGGGATGAATGCGCTGATAGCATGTAGGTGAGTTGGTATTTCAGGTGGTTGGTGTTCACATATTTCAGGTGGTTGGTGTTCACGTGTTTCAGGTGGTTGTTGTTCACGTGTTTCCGATGGTTGGTGTTCACGTGTTTCAGGTGGTTGGTGTTCGCGTGTTTTAGGTGGTTGGTGTTCACGTGTTTCAGGTGGTTGGTGTTCACGTGTTTCAGGTGGTTGATGTTCACGTGTTTCATGTGGTTGGTGTTCACGTGTTTTGAGGTGGTTGGTGTTCACGTGTTTCAGGTGGTTGGTGTTCACGTGTTTCAGGTGGTTGGTGTTCACGTGTTTCAGGTGGTTGGTGTTCACGTGTTTCTGCAGGTATGGTGGCAGAACCCTTGATATGCAGCCTTCTGTTGTTTGTGCAATTGATACCAATGCAGGTACCCCTTGTGCTAGGTGCCTGTGTAGGCATCACTACGTTAAGCATTCCAGCCAGGGTGGAAGCCCTTAACGGTCTGGAGTGCCCATAGGACTTGCTTGTTCGCGCCTAAGGCCTTTTCTGGATCAATCAGTGCAGACGCACCCTCCATGCCATCAACAGCGCAAACGAGGCTAGAGAAGCCTTAGGCACCGGGGAAAACGAGGCTTTTGAGGCCTTAGGCACCGGGGCAAACGAGGCTATTGAGGTCCTCAATAGCCTCGTCAGCATCGAGATGCACCTGGGACGACCAGGGCAGCGCACAAGATGGACTTTCAGAAGGATCAGCCACCACCCGCCCTTTCTCACCCAACGGGAATCTCATTCCCCCACCTTGCGCATTTCTCCCTCTCCCTCTCCTTCGTCCATCCTTCCCTCCAGCGCTACTTCCTTTCGTCTTCAAGAGAGCTCACCTCACCCGCATGGACGGCCCCACCAAATCCCCCATCCTCACTCATGCACCTCCGTCCCCTTCTCCTCGCCTCCCCCTCCAGCACTACTACCTCTCCTCGACTCCAGAACTAACCCGCATTGACGGCCTCACCAAGCCGCCCATCCTCGTTCATGTTCTCCTTCCTTCCCCACCCTCCCCGCTCCACTCTCCCCATTCACCCTTTCCCCTCCACCCTCTCCCCTCCACCCGCCCCCCTGCACCCTCCAGCGCTACTACCTCTCCTCGTCTCGGGAACTGACCCGAATCGACGGCCTCACCAAGTCGCCCATCCTTGCACATTTCTCCGAAACCCTCGCCGGGGCGGCGGTGATCCGCGCTTTCGCCCAGGAGGAGCGGTTTGAGATCGAGAATGCGGACGCGGTGGACAACAACATGCGCGCATACTTCCACTACTATGGAGCCATCTACTGGCTCGGACTCAGACTGGAAACGATCTCAGCTGTGGTGCTCGCGTTTGTCGCCTTCCTGCTTGTTCTGGTTCCCCAAGGGACCATCGAACCTGGTAGGGGCACTGCTTGGGTGGCCTGAAACCATGGCTGGTAGGGCCTGTGTGTGTTGAGAAGAGTGTGGAGTGAAAAATGCTGGTTGGTTGAAAGGAGCGGTTTGGAATAGAGAACGCGGACGCGGTGGACAACAACATGTGCACATGCTTCCACTACTACAGCGCCATCTACTGGCTCGGGCTCAGACTGGAAACGATCTCGGCTGTGGTGCTCGCCTTTGTCACGTTTCTGCTCGTGCTGGTTCCCCAAGGAACCGTCGAAGCTGGTAGGGGCACTGGTTGGGCTGGCTGGAATCATGGTTGGCCTGTGCGTATTCGGAGGGGTGTCGAGTCATGACATGAGCATGGCGCTAGTCATGACATGAGCATGCCACTAGTCATGAAATGAGCATGGCGCTAGTCATGAAATGAGCATGGTGCTAGTCATGACATGAGCATGGCGCTAGTCATGAAATGAGCATGGCGCTAGTCATGACATGAGTATGGCGCTAGTCATGAAATGAGCATGGCGCTAGTCATGACATGAGCATGGCGCTAGTCATGACATGAGCATGGCGCTAGTCATGACATGAGCATGGCGCTAGTCATGACATGAGCATGGCGCTAGTCATGACATGAGCATGGCGCTAGTCATGACATGAGCATGGCGCTAGTCATGACATGAGCATGGCGCTAGTCATGACATGAGCATGGCGCTAGTCATGACATGAGCATGGCGCTAGTCATGACATGAGCATGGCGCTAGTCATGGCATGAGCATGGCGCTAGTCATGGCATGAGCATGGCGCTAGTCATGGCATGAGCATGGCGCTAGTCATGACATGAGCATGGCGCTAGTCATGACATGAGCATGGCGCTAGCCATAACATGAGCATGGTGCTAGTCATGACATGAGCATGGCGCTAGTCATGACATGAGCATGGCGCTAGTCATGACATGAGCATGGCGCTAGCCATAACATGAGCATGGCGCTAGTCATGACATGAGCATGTGGCACTCCTGCAACCTTGAAAGCAATCTGTGTCTCCTTCCTTCCCAAACTCCTCCCTTCCCCCAACCAGGCCTGGCAGGGGTGCTGCTAGCCCACAGCCTAACTCTGAAATGGCGCTGGTTATGACCATGTGGCATCGGTGCAAGTTGCAGCCTGCAACCTCGAGAACAAACCTTGTCTCCTCCTTTCCCCACCTCTCTTTCTCCCCATCTCCCCCGCATCCAGGCCTGGCAGGGGTATCTTTGGCCTATGGTCTAACCCTTAACATGGCGCTGGTGATGACCATGTGGCATCTCTCCAACCTCGAGAACAAGCTCGTGGCCGTGGATCGAATTCGGCACTTCTCTGCCATCCCATCTGAAGCGCCCTTGATCGTCGAGGGCAACAGGCCCTCGGCCGACTGGCCCAACCGTGGCTCCATCAGCTTCGAAAACCTCCAGGTGAGTCCACTATTGGGGCGACTCATCCCATACGCCTCAATTCCTCAAAAGCCCATTTGGAACCCTACAGCCTTGAGAACAAGCTCGTGGCTGTGTGGATCGAATCCGGCAATTTTCCGCCATCCCATCTGAAGCGCCCTTAATAGTGGAGGGCAACCACCCTGGCCCGACTGGCCAAATAGAGGCTCCATCAGCTTCGAGAACCTCCAGGTAAGTTGACTGATTACTAGCTTTGAGAACCAGCTTGTGGCCGTGGTGGATTGGATCCGCCACTTTTCCGCCATTCCTGCTCAGACGCCACTGATAGTGGAAGGGAACAGACCCTCGCTGATTGGCCGAATCACGTCGTTGTCGGGTTTGAGAATCTCCAGGTGAGGGTACTTTCGAGGCGCCTCATGATTACCATCTTTGGAAACCTTCACGCGAATCCACTGCCTGCAAGGCGAATCCATTGCCTGCAAGGCGAATCCACTGCCTGCAAGGCGAATCCATTGCCTGCAAGGCGAATCCATTGCCTGCAAGGCGAATCCACTGCCTGCAAGGCGAATCCACTGCCTGCAAGGCGAATCCACTGCCTGCAAGGCGAATCCACTGCCTGCAAGGCGAATCCACTGCCTGCAAGGCGAATCCACTGCCTGCAAGGCGAATCCACTGCCTGCAAGGCGAATCCACTGCCTGCAAGGCGAATCCACTGCCTGCAAGGCGAATCCACTGCCTGCAAGGCGAATCCAGTGCCTGCAAGGTGAATCCACTGCCTGCAAGGCGAATCCACTGCCTGCAAGGTGAATCCACTGCCTGCAAGGCGAATCAACTGCCTGCAAGGCGAATCCACTGCCTGCAAGGCGAATCCACTGCCTGCAAGGCGAATCCACTGCCTGCAAGGCGAATCCAGTGCCTGCTAGGTGAATCCACTGCCTGCAAGGCGAATCCACTGCCTGCTAGGTGAATCCACTGCCTGCAAGGCGAATCCACTGCCTGCTAGGTGAATCCACTGCCTGCAAGGCGAATCCACTGCCTGCAAGGCGAATCCACTGCCTGCAAGGTGAATCCACTGCCTGCATGGCGAATCCAGTGCCTGCTAGGTGAATCCACTGCCTGCAAGGCGAATCCACTGCCTGCAAGGCGAATTCACTGCCTGCAAGGTGAATCCAGTGCCTGCAAGGCGAATCCACTGCCTGCAAGGTGAATCCAGTGCCTGCAAGGCGAATCCAGTGCCTGCAAGGTGAATCCACTGCCTGCAAGGTGAATCCACTGCCTGCAAGGTGAATCCACTGCCTGCAAAATACCGACATTTTGTCCGGTTACTCCCCCTCTCTGTATCTCCCTCCCCTCTTCCCTGTGTGCACGCAGATGCGTTACCGGGAAGCCATGCCTCTGGTACTGGATGGGAAAAGGTTGGATTCGATCCGCAGCAAGCCTCCTAGGAGTAGATCTAGGTCTAGAACTAAGATTAACGGCGAGAAAGGTAAGAGAATTTTCTCTTGGTCAGAACGCCAGACACAATAGGCCCGGATGTCGCGTGCGAACGCGTTTCGCCAGCAATAGGCGTTCATCAGCTGTGTACCGGGAAGCCACGACGGGCGTGGTGACAGTCACTTTCAGAGGCGGGAAGGAAGAAGGTGGTAGCGGTCAGTCGCACAAGCATCATACCCCCCACCCATCTTTTCCTTCCGCTCCCCCCTATCCTCTCTTCAATCTACACAGATGGGCTCCAGGGAAACCATGCGTCTGGTCCTGAAAGGTGCGACGGTGACCTTCAGAGGCGGGGGGAAGTTGGGAGTGATCCGCTGCACAGGCAACACATCCCCCCCGGTCCTCTCACCTCTATCTTTCTCCTCCTCTTCTGTTTTTTTCTCTCCCCACAGATGCGCTACAGGGAAGCCATGCCTCTGGTCCTCAAGGGCGTCACAGTGACCTTCAGAGGTGGGGAGAAGGTGGGCGTGGTCGGCCGCACAGGCAGTGGCAAATCCACCCTCGTTGCTGCCCTCTTCCGATTGGTCGAGCCAGTGGGCGGCCGAGTCATGATCGACGGCGTGGACATCTCGACCATCGGATTGCAAGATCTACGGTCCAGATTGGCCATCATCCCGCAGGACCCGACCCTGTTTGAAGGCACGGTTCGGTCGAACCTGGACCCCCTGGCTCGGTACCATTCCAGCCTGCTCTGGGAGGTGCTTGAGAAGTGCCAGCTGGCAGAGGCAGTAATGGATAAAGAGGACAAGTTGGACGCCATTGGTGAGTCTTGTCCTTTTCCCTGCACATTCCTTCCCCTCCAACACATCTCCCACCCACCCACCCCCCTCCTGTCTGTTGTTTCAATATATTTGAGAATCTTTGTATTCTCTGGATCCCCTTAGCATTTACCTCCAGCCATTGCAGTGGTGTTCGAAGGAGCGGGAGAACCAGAGGGTGTGCCAGAGGGATAAAAACATGTCGAAATGTCTTGGATTTTTTCCCCGCCCCAACCTCCTGCAGTAACGGATTGAGGGGAGAATCGGAGTGTGGGTCAGAGTCGGATCTTCTGATTGCAGGGCGTTTTAAAGCCTTTTGCATTCCCCTGACCCTACTCCCAGCCGTTGCACCCCTTTCATTCTCGATACCCTGACAGCAGTGGAGAGGGGGGGGACAACTGGAGTGATGGGCAGAGGCAGCTCTTCTGCCTAGCATGATCCGATGCATATTATATGTTATTTGTGTGACTGTCCGCCCATACCCTGACAGTGGTGGAGGGAGGGGAGAACTGGAGCGTGGGGCAGAGGCAGCTCTTCTGCCTGGCCAGAGCCCTGCTCAAGCGCTCTCGAATCCTGGTGCTTGATGAAGCAACGGCGTCCGTTGATTCGGCCACAGACGCCATAATCCAACGGACCATAAAGGAGAACTTCGCCAGGGCTACAGTTATCACCGTAGCGCACCGCATCCCCTCTGTAATCGACTCCGATAAAGTGCTAGTGCTTGAAGCAGGTGAGAGAAGCTTAAGTGACTTATTAGCGGCTCAAGATGCATCGCATTCTCTCTCAATGACTCCGATGTCTTTGCATTGCCCACTCCCCTACCTGCCCATTTCAAATCCTCCACTTCGCTTTCCTCCACTTGGATGTCCTCCACTTAACTCCTCCACTTCGCTTTACTCCAGCCTGTGTCCTTGTGTGGAGTGTCACACTGGGGTTGGCCTAGAGATCTTTGGAAGGGTCATAGGCCTCTGCCTGGGGGGTTCTGGGCGCGCTGACCCGCTTAGAGAAACAAGCCCTTTTAGCACAGTGGTTAGCGATTGTGCTTTCCTGAGATGGTATCAGAGCGGCCTAGGGTTCAATTCCCTGTGGGCGCCAGAATTGGCTAACTGAGTCCTCCGCCTACCCCGGCGCGGGGGGGTGTCGAGTGACACACTGGGGTTGACCTAGAGATCCTCGGAAGGGCCACAGGCCTCTGTGTCTGGGGGTTACAGGGCGCGTTGACCCGCTAAGAGAAACAAGCCCTTTTAGCACAGTGGTTAGCGGTTGTGAGACCTTGACCTCTCAGGATACCCAAACTCTAGATGCACCCTTCCCTCCTCCACCAATCACCTATCACTGTCAGCTAGCCCCCTGCCTCATAATATCTTATTGATCCCTCATTCACTCTGCAGGTAGAGTGGAGGAGTTTGATTCCCCCGTGCGGCTGCTGGCCAATAAGAGATCGCTCTTCTCGCAGCTAGTGGCAGAGTACTCAAAGCGGACAAACACTGTAGCCAACCTAGCCGCCATGGTGCGAATTCCTCGCGATTACTCAAGGCAAACCATGAACTTGGATGACTACTAGGAATTGCAACATCTGATTCGTAGTGGATGCAACACAAGCTGCGTGTGATATGTTCTGCAAATGCATACGCAATCGAAGGATGTTAAAATCCAGTTATCAACAGTAGAGTACAAATATAGGTCATAACACGGAGGCCTTCTTAAGAGTAGCGGAATGAATGAGAAAGAAGGGTACAGAGCAGTTTTAACCTAGTGTGTTGTACTCTCTAAAGGCATACACCTAACTAGCAGGGCTGACATTTCAAAAAAAGGCACTCTGATTTTACCCCCCAAAAAAATTCCCAAGTCTGAGGGGCCATTTTTCAAAATTTCCCTATTCTGAAATCTCAGTATCCAAAAGTTGACAAGTCTGAAGTTCTCAGGGTTCAGAATGTCCATTCAGGGTCCACGCGCCTCAGTCGAAGTCTCGTTTTTCAGAGGTCGGATGCAACTTAGTAGCTTTGCAAACGTTAGTGGTAGAGAGCTCGTTGTGTCGGAGCCGGTGAAAAAATAGGAGCCGTAAGTCTGAGCAACTCACCCAAGCAGGGTCTCGGATTCGTTTTAGGGTGTCTGATTGCTTAGGCCTACCCTTCTGAGAACCCTTTTTTGTCAGGGTAGTTTTCATTTTCTGGCCTGAAATTTCAGGCTGAAAATTCGAAAGGGTGACGAATCAGGGTTGGGTTTTGAAACGCGCTGAATTAGTTCGTCGCGTGATCGAGGGAAAACCTGTGTTTTCAACGAACTGCCGAAACCCCACCTACTGGCCGCTTCCGCACAATTTTTGCGAAGGACGAATCACGTCCCTCACACCTGCTCTCGCTTACATTGGTTAACCAGTATGATATTTTGTCGAAGGACCGGTCACAAATCACGCCCCTCACAACTGAACCTGATTACCTCGGATTCTTGCGTGATTTTGGCCTAAGGACCAATCACAGCCTCACACCTGCTCCAAGTTCGCTCGGACCACAGGCAAAATTGCTTGGGGGGTCGTGGTCGCCAGATTACGTAGGGTTCTACTGTTTCAGGCTAAAATTCGGTGGAGGCTGATTGGTCCGGCCTGGCTAAACAGGAACACACGTTTTTTCAGGCTTACGAAACTGGGAACACAAAATTTTCAAGTTTGGCCAAAATCGAATGCTGGCCAAAGTAAGGCTATGCCCTAAAAAACACCCTGAAAACAGTTTTTCATGACTTTATAGCCTGAAATCTGAGACCCTCCACCCAAGTGACTAGATTGACAGAGCCTGTACCCACGGGAACCCTTTCAAAATCTGATGTGACTCAATCCACCAAGCATGAAGACGAGACAGTGAAAACTTTGTAGGGGCAGATTCAGTTTGTCTCATAAAAATCTTTCATGCGTTGAGTATTAGCGCGCGAATTCCGAGGTGTTCGGGCTGCAAAATGCCGTGGCCCAGCTTGTTGTGACGTGTCGCAATGCCGACGCTGTAGAGCACGAGTCTGTCTGCGACCAGCCCTTGCAAGTGTGTGATTGGTTCTTGAGGGGATTGTGTCAGCCTCTGACAGAACTTCGCGAAAAAATCTAGGCGAAAGGGTTGTGGGAAGAATGTCTCTAGAAATGGAGGACTTAGCCGATTTTTGTGGGTTGTTTGGGGAGTGAAAGGGGTGTCTCTACAAAAGGACTTCAACAAAGTTTATGGGTTGCTGGGTGTGCTGAGGGACTATCTATGGCTGCTAGGACTTAGCCGAATTTTATATGTTGTAGGGTGTGTGAGAGGACTTGACCCTGGGGGTCCGGGATTTAGCCAAAATTTTTGGGTTGAGGGCAGGTAGGTGCAGTATGCGTCTCAGGGTCCATACGCGCTGTGCACTGAAAACTCACTATCCGCAAACTGCAAAGTCTGAGATTCTAAGGGTTCAAAAACATATAACTCTGAAGGGTTCAGCATTCAACAAAATGGCAAGCCTGAAAAATCAGGATTGGCCAAAAACTTGGTCTGAAATTTCAGACAATCAGACTAAAATAGTCTGATAAAATCAGCCCTACTAACTAGCCTATAATAACATATGCATATATGTTAGACACTCCCCCTAGGCTAGACAAGGGGTAGTGTCTGGGAAGAGACACGCAACTCAGGGTGGCACTACTAGTACAACCTCTGAGGCAAGGGTCCGAGGACCAGTCAGAAGAGTACAAATAAGATAAGAGCAAACCAAGCGGCACTACTAGTCCTGCAACTGGAGCAGGAGCCACAAGGCCAATCAGGAGAATATAATAAGAGTAGTACACAATCAAGGCCCTAGCAAGTGAGGACCTACAGGAACTAGACCTAGCTGTATACAGTGCCGCTGATGATCTTTAGGCGCATGCGCCGTAGTAAATATATCAGCTTTGTTGGCACCAGAGGCCAATGAACTACGCGGGCCTGGCGGCGCTGCTGTAGCTCGCACAAGAGGAAGTACCGCAGCTAGATGTGCTTCGCTCTGCCCTCAAGTCAAGGCTCCTGACAAAAGAGGATCATGGCCCTGTTGTCCGCGTACAAGACCGGGGCAGAGCTAAGCCGCTCACCTAGGTCTGTGAGCAGAAAGGTCAGCCAGCGGAGCTCCTGTGCTGCCATGGCACCACCGTAGATCTCAGCCTCATAGCTAGACTGGGCAACAGACGACGAGCGGGTGGACCTCCACGAGATGGCACCTGCACCCAGGCTAAAGCAGTAGCCTTGGGAGGACCTGAGTGTCTCAGCGTCGTCCGTCCACGAGGCGTTTGTGTGCCCTGTAAGGACCAATGGCATGCGTCCTCCTAGCACTAGCCCCATGCCCAATGTACTTATTAGATAATGCAAAACCCTCATAGCAGCCGACCGATGCTGTGTTCGGTGTCTGCCTGTGGCCACAAAGCGAGCCAGAATGCTGAGAGGGTATACGAGATCCGAACGGGTGCAAGTCATCAGGTACATAAGGCAACCCACCAGCTCTGCGTAAGGATCACTAGGGTTTACAGACTCCTCAGGGACTTGATCCGAGAGCCTGTGATCTACTGGCAGAGGTGTGGGCTGTGCAGAAGAGAACTGAAGGCCAAACCTCTGAAGGACCTGGCACACCAAGTGTGACTATGTAAGAGTGATGGTGCGCTCTGCTCTGTCCTAAGAGATTTCCAGGCCAAGCTTGCGGCGCAGCTCTCCTAGGTCAGTCCAGGTGTGTCTCCTCAGAAGCTCAGCCTTTACGGAGGCCAGTGCGTCTCGGTCTGCAGTAGCGAAGAGCAAGTCATCTACGTAGACAAGGATGTAGAACGGGGTCTGGCCAGAGCAAACAAAGAGCCAGGGGTCTGCAGACGACGGGAAGTGCTGCAGGTCAGCTAACGTAGCACGCATCGTGTCGTGCCATTCGCACGGCGCCTGCCGCAGGCCGTAAACCGAGCGCCTGAGAAGCCACTCGGTCCCAGGGGCAAAGGTGTCAGTGAAACCTGGCGGACAACGCAGGTAGACGTGCTCGTACAGAATGCCCTGTAGAAACGCTGTAGTGAAGTCGAGGGAGTGCAGCTCATAGTCACGCTGTGCTGCTATGTGTAGCAGTGCCCGAAGAGTGGTCATCTTCGGGGTCGGGGCGAAGGTCTGAAAGAAATCCACCCCCTCACGCTGGCTGAAGCCTCGAGCGACATAGCGCGCCTTGAAGACAGGCGGCTCTCCAGGAGGGCGCTTCACCTTGAAGAGCCATCGGCCATCAACTACGTTCAACCCAGTTGGGGGAACTGCGTCGACGAAGGTACCGATGGATCTCCAAGATGCCATCTCCTGCTCCATGGCAGCTATCCACTGAGAAGCCCAGGGTCCCGAGGTCGCCTCAGTGTAGGTGGGAGGGGTCGGGATGTCAAGAGCGTCTGAGTCACCCTCAGGGACTAGCAGCATGGAGCAGAGATGGGGAGCAGCCTCGGATAAGAAAGCAAGCTCGTACTGCCCGTCCTGTAGGACGTCACTACCAAGGGCAGGTCCACCCTCGACGGACGGAGGGCAGGCAGGGTCAGAGACCAGAGCGGTGGCGTAGTCAAGGTGGCGGGTAGAGGCAAAGGCAGCGACAGCAGTGACCAAAGCCGACATACTAGAGACAGGAAGAGACGGGTCGGTAACAAGTGAGGCGAGGACCCGAGGAACAAGAGGACGAGCAGCACGAAGGAAGTCAGGAGAGGAGGCAGAGCAACAACAAGCAACGATGGGGGCGTGTTCTTCTTCAGCAGATTCGTAAGTGGTGCCGCGAGTTTCGCGTACAGTGGCACAAACCTGTTGTAATAATTAGCGAAGCCTAGGAACTGTTGCAACTCCTTCACGTTCTCGGGTGTCTTCCACATACGTACGGCTTCGATTTTCTTGGGGTCGACGTGAACTCCTTGAGCGCTCACCATGTGTCCTAGGAATTGGACCTTCTCAAGGGCGAATTCGCTCTTGGACAATTTGACGTAGAACTGTTCTCGTTGAAGAATTGCACCCCCAGAACTGCACCCCCAGAACCAGCATACTCTGTACCACCCGAGACCACCCCAAGGACCGCCTTGATGAGCACGACTGTAACCCCAGGACTAGCACCCCCAGGGCCACCTCGCTGCAGCGACTGCTGCTGCGGCGACGGTAGCTGCGGCGACGACGAGGAAGGAGGAGACACTAGGCCGCAGACAGGTGACAAACCCGGAGCCACTGGGCCACCAGAGTCAGCCGACGCCTCCACCGGGTCGACCGACGGAAGGGGAGTGACGTGAGACACACTAGACGGGGCAGGTTGGCGAGGGGGAGGAACAGGGGCTACCGGGGGAGCGGGGACCATGAACAGTTGAGGGATAACGGGGAGACCTCGGTGGGGAAAGCGGGCGTAGAAGGAGACAGACTCGTCAAAATTGACGTCGCGCGAGTGAAAGAAGCGGTGAGATGGCGGGTGGTAGAAGTTCCAGTCAGACGCTTCGAGGGGGAAACCAAGGAAGACACAGGGGACGGTGCGGGCAGGGAGCTTGTCCGTGCCGGAGGCACGAATGTGAGTGAGGCAGCCTCAGACGTGGAACGCAAACGCGTCACCTTGGGACCCGCTCGAGAGGAGGGTCGGCGAAACCTGCGGCAACTGGGAGTGTGGCCACAGGTTTAACTGGTGAGTG